TAAGGTGACACCTGAGATCAGGGCACTTAGAATTTTCCAGTTGAGATAACCAGGTGTACGAGGGTTCTTTGGTGACTATCACTGGTCCAGGTTACACGAATTATTCCTAAAATCTCATACCCAACCCATCCAGAGGATCAGTATCGAAGTGTAATATACTATTTTCGAATTACCATTGTCCCTTTTGTTTTCTCTCTTCCCCATTCTGCTTGTTCCTTGTGATTTGGATTTGAACTTATGTCCCATTGTCTTTTCTCCATGTGTTTTTTTCCAAGCTGATTTTAGCTTGGCGAGGCAAATAAGAGAAGGCATAATGTATAATGTGTGTGCCTCATGTATGTGCAAGTGTGCACTTATGAATGCCTACACCCATCTTTGCAGAGACTTCCCAGTCTAGACCACAGATCCTGAATCCACCTCTGCCCAGTGCAGAGGGAGGAGCCTTGGCTGTGGTAGACTCTGACATCAACAGCAGAGAATGGAGAGAGGTTAAGGGCCAGGCAGCATATCTAGCTGAAACCTCTGTGGCAGGAAGCACTTATTTTTATCAGTGTGTGTTCACGTATACAAACCATGCTTGACCCTTCATATGTCTATCAGTAGAACTCTTGGAGAGACAGGCCATACTACTGTATTTCTCCACCTAGCAGCTTTTTTATTTTTCTTTTTGGTGGAGGAACATACCTACTGGTACTCAGGGCTTACTGCCTCTGTACTCAGAGATAATTCCTTCGGTCCTGGCAAGCTTGGGGGACCATATGGGGTACCAGAAATTAGATCTGGTCAGCTGCATGCAAGGCAAGTGCTCTATGCACTGTACTATTGCTCCACCCCACCCGGAGCAGTTCTTTTATCAGTCTTGCCTGGAAGTAGGAATCTTATCTACATGGCCTGAACTAAAATAGGGCCTCTGTGAAATATTCTCACCTTTTCTTCCTTGTCCACGTTCCAACCCCTGTGACTCTTTGTCAACAGGGCTGACAGAACATGTTCTGCATTAGGCTGGTAGCTGTGTGTCTTGGGGCCCTCTGACTCGTTGCTCACCCATCCGGGCAGAGTTGCTCTGTATTCCTCAGAGCTGCAGGGTTAGTGACCATCCACTCAAGATAGATACAGATACACCAGCCTGCATGAGGGAACAGAATTTGCTCGCTTCTCTGGTAGCAAAGAATGAAACTGGGCTTCACTTAGATACTTTAATTTTGCTCTAATTTTTGTGTTTTTGTGCCATACCTGGCTTTGTGCTCAAGAGTCACTCCTGGCAGTGCTCTGGGGATTGTATATGGTGATGGGATCAGACTGGGGTCATCTGCATGAAAGGAAAGGCAGTCGCCTTAACCCTTGTACTAGTTTTTTAGTCCTATGTTATTTGTTGTTGATTTTGGGGATTTAGAGGTCATACCCAGGGCTTACTTATGGCTCTGTGCTCATGAACTATCCCTGGTCATGCTTGGTGGACCATACAGGGATTCAGATAGGGATCAGCCACATGCAAGGAAGATGCCTTATCCACTGTATTATCTCTCTGGCCCCTACTTTTTTATTGGTTTTGGGGGTACATAGGCGGCACTGAGGGATTACTCCTTGCAGTGGTCAGGGGACCATGTGGGATGCTGGGGATCACACCTGGCTGGCTGCATGCAAGGCAAGCGCCTTACCTCCTGAACTCTCTCCAGCTCTATTAGAGATAGAGTTTTTTAAGCTCACCATCTACACCTGACATACTTTGTTTTATTTAACCTAAAGTCACATCTGAATGCCCTCATGAACTTCCTCATTATGAATGATTCTGCAAGCAAAACTACAGAAACTGAGAGAAAAGAAAGCTTAAGCCATGAACTAATATGCTGTAAGAACTAATTCTTCCCTTAAGAATTATGGACCTTAATCGGTCCTGAGCACCTTATCGGTCCTCAGAATCTCTAGAGCCTCTGCTGTGTCTCCAGCTACTCCTGCACTAAGACCTCTCTTTCTCTCACTTCCTTCGTCCATGCCACTATCTTACAACATCTCAGTTCTCAGCCCTAACCCTCTGCCACTGATGACAAAGCTTCATGACATCCTCACCACCAGAGAGGAAAAGGGTCCCAACCTCTGTTTTCTCTTGGGTTATATGGTAACCCCAGCTGAAACTTCTCGGCCCCCAAATTTTGCTAGGCTTCCCTGGGCCCTGTGGTGCAGTGTGTTTGAAGACTGTCGTGTAGTGCATGTGACAATTTGCTAATAACAATTTTGTCTTTTTTTTTCCCCTCCCTCATTCCCTTTCCCCCCCTCCCCCCCGCTCCCTTTCCTTTTTAACTCTTGATTTTCTCACCTCTGGGGAAACCACAAGGAGCTGGTAAGAAGTCTGACCTTTCATCTGCTCTTTTAATGGGTTGTGCTATGATGGGCATTTGTTTCTCTGTCCTTTGGTCTCCACTAAATCTTCCCCTACTCAGCCCCACCCACCTAGCTGACAGCCTTTTCCCATCTCACAAATCATTGTACTGACAGTCCCTCCACCCAGGCCTCTGGATCTGCAGGCCTGGCGGACTAAGTGTGCTACTCACCTGCATCTGGGGTCTGCCCTTAGAAAGACCCTGGAGAATACCAGCCACAGGCAGCCCTCTTGATTCAGGACAGGCTTTTAGAGTAGGAACAGTGAGATGAAAGCCCTGTCAAGAACTTCTGAAACTTAAATTCCATGCTGACCCGTTTGTACTCTTCTTATTTAGAAAAGTAAATCAAAAAGTTGTTTCTCATCTGCATAGTCCTGGCCCATAGTAAGTGATAAACAAACAGTAGTTCTTGGATCAAGTTCCTTTCCTTAGTCAATAGATTCTGTGCTCGGGTACCGTGCAAATGCTGGGATCAAACCCAGGGCTCCTTCACTCAAAGCAGCATGCAATCCAGTCCTTTAAGTTAATTTTTTCATTAAAAGATTATTAAGAGATAATAATTTGAGATTCAGTTGTCTTCCCTTAAGCACTCACCTATGGGAAATTGAACCCATTTATTTTCCCTTTTTAGGGTTTTTTTTGTGTATGTGTTTTTGTTTGGGGGCCATACCTGACAGTACTCAGGGCTTGCTCCTGGCTCTCTGCTTAGGGATCACTCATGGTGCTGTGCAGGATACACACACTCTCTAATTCTTGCCCATCCAGTCAGCACTTCCCTAATAGGATAATGAGCAATGTTTTCTACTTATCCCCTCTCTTTCCTATTTTGTTGTTTTATGTACTTTTGGTTTGGGGCCACACCCAGCTGTGCTTACTCCTGTCTCTGCTCAAGAATCACTGCTGGCTGTGCTCGGGACCATATAAGGTGCCAGGGATTGAGCGTAGGGTGGCTGCCTGTAAGTGCCACTGTACGCTGTACTGTCATTCTGGCCCCCAATTTTTAATTTTTTTTTGAGGTGCTGCGGGTGGTGCCCAGCCTAGGGATTGAATCTAGATTGGCTGCCGACACAGTCCCACTGTGCACTGTACTATTGCTCTGGCCCCCCCTTCCCCAATTTTATGTTTTTGTGATGCTGCAGGTAGAGCCCAGAGCTTTACACAGGCATGTTTCCTACTCTGAGATACATAAATTCCTGGATTTCCTCTTTTTTAAATTTTTGTTGCTCCTATTTATTTTATTTTTTGGTTTTTGGGCCACATCCAGCGATACTCGGTGTACTCCTGGCTCTGCACTAGGGAATTACTCCTGGAGATTCTTGGGGGACCGTATGGGGTGTCGGGCCATATTGAACCTGGGTCCGCTGCTTGCAAGGCAAATGCCCTACCCACTGTACTATCACTCCGGCCCTCTCCTATTTTTAAAGCTTCCATTCATATGGATTTCTCTCCAGTAGCAGATCAGACATGCAAGATGAACTTCCTGTCTGCCTTTTTTTCTCCATCAGCTCCTTTCCCTCATTTCCAGAGTCCACACACAGCAGTCTTAGCCTTGGTTACATATTAGAGTCACTTGGATAGTTGGTTTTTTTTCCCTTGGGGGGGAGGGTCCACACCCAGAATTGCCAGGGGTATTCCTGCCTCTGTGCTCAGGAGTGAGCCCTGATGACGCTCAGGGGATCATAGGTGGTGCTGGCATTCCATTAGGGTTCGCTCTTCTGTAGCCTCCTGCGAGGCAAGGGCCTTTCTGCCTATTCTATCTCTCCCTCCTCTACATAGCATTTAAACTGCCTTACATCCCTGACTCTGAGAAGAGTGAAATCAGATTCTACAGAGGCCAGCATAGACTTTCTCCACACCGCCCCCCCACTTCAGTTTTTGGGTCACACCTTTCCATGCTCAGGATTTTCTCCTGGCTCTGTGCTCAGGGATCACTCTTGGTGGGGCTAGGGGAACCACGTAAGGTGCTGAGGATCGAACTTGGGTCAGCTGTGTGTAAGGCAAGTGCCCTACCATCTCTCTGGCCCCATCACTTTATCTTCTTGAATTCCCTCACTTCAAGGCAGCCTGGAAATAGGGATGATCAGGTCCTCTGCCAGCTTCCTTTTATATGTAAGTACTGGTGCAGAGGTCCCGCTACTAAAGTCCTCTCCTAATACTGCCCCTCATAGTAGTTCTATTGTCTGCCAGCCTTTTTCTTGCCTTACAGCAAGGTTGGGAGGTTAGCTTGAGAATGGACTTCCTCAGTGGCAAAGAAATTTACTTTTGGGAGGGGGAGGTTAAAAGAGGTCAGGCTGGTTTCTTGCCCTGAGTGTGTGGTGTGTGCCAGATAAGTGGGAGGGTCCAGTTGGATGAGGTGGGCACCATGGGAGGCTTATGTACAGAGTGGGTGGGGAGGTCATGTTGCCTCTGTTCCCAGTTGAATCAGGGTGTTAATATTTATACAACTGAGACTCCAGATTTACCAGGAAACTGCCGTTTCCTAGATTGAGTCTGGGTCAGGAGCTAGAAATGGAGCCACCTTATTTTCCCCTTAGGAAAGGAGGGTTCAGTCTTGCAGTGAGTTGGGGATTTTGTGAGATTGGGGAAGTTCTTGCCCTTGACCTGAATTGCCTATTCCTGCAGGAGGAGCTGACCAGTACGAGTGTGGAGCACATCATTGTCAATCCCAATGCTGCCTATGACAAGTTTAAAGACAAGAGAGTGGGGACAAAGGGACTTGGTGAGCCTGGGCCAGAAATTGATGGGGAGATTCCTGTTCTCAAGCCTTAGTGACTTCGTCGTCTTTTTGGGTCACACTCTGCAATACTCAGGGGTTACTTCTGGCTCTGCACTCAGGAATCACTCCTGGCGGTGCTCATGGGACCATATGGGATGGCAGGGATCAAACCCGGGTCAGCCACATGCAAGGCAAATGGCCAGCCCACTAGACAGGGATCAAACCCGGGTCAGCCAATGCAAGGCAAATGCTCCAGCCCCAAGCCTCAGTGACTTTTGCTTGCTTCTTTTGTTTTATGGGCCACACCCAACTGTGCTCGGGGGCTCTTTCTGACTCAGTACTTTGGGGGTCACTGCTGGAAGTGTTCAGATCTTCTGGTACCAGGGATTGAATCCTGGTTACCCATGTGCAGAAGCATGTGCTCCAGCCAGCTGAGCTACTTCTTCAATAGGCCTTAAAAATAGACTTTTGTTTGATAAAGGATCCCTCATGAAAACTCTCACAGTCACCTGAGGATCTTGATGAGACCTTCAATTCCATCTTCTCTTTTTGACAGATTTCTCAGATCGCATTGGAAAAACCAAGAGGACAGGCTATGAATCTGGAGACTATGAGATGGTTTGTTATGTGTGTTTGTTGAGGGGAGTGGTGCAAAGATCCTTTCTAACAGGCCTTTAGGAGAGAGAGCAAGGGATACAATGGGATTTGAATTTCTCTGGGATTGGGAATCCCGAGTAACCCAACAGCATGCAACTGAGGATTTTTTTGTCCTCCTTTGCTCTGGAGAGACTTCGGCCTCCAGCTCACTCTCACTTGCCCTTCTGCACACGGGGTTGGGCATGAAACACATATAATTTAGGCCCAGGATTTGGGTAAGTTCTACCAGAGATGTAGCCTCACCATCTGTGCTTGTTCTTCAGCTTGGAGAGGGCCTGGGAGTAAAGGAGACACCCCAGCAGAAGTACCAGCGACTTCTACATGAGGTCCAGGAGCTGACAACTGAGGTTGAGAAAATCAAGGTAATTGTAAACTCCTTCTCCCTTTTCTACTATGACTTGTATAGTAAAGGAGGCCCTCCCATTAGAAAGTGAGATTTTTTGAGGTCCTGAATAAGGAGGCTGAGGTTTCCAGAGTTGAGGGGAGAGTGCATCTGTAGATTCTTCACTGAAGATGGCTATCTGGGGGACACCCGCACTGTTGATTTCCAGGTAACAGCTACCTTGAAGGCTTTTTCCCCCTTGATTCATTCTATCATTCGTCACAATGTGTTTTCATTCTAGACAACAGTGAAGGAGTCAGCCACTGAAGAGAAGCTCACCCCTGTGGTGCTGGCTAAACAGTTGGCAGCCTTGAAGCAGCAGCTGGTGGCTTCCCACCTGGAGAAGCTGCTGGGACCGGATGCAGCGATCAACCTCACTGACCCAGATGGAGCTCTGGCTAAGTGTGTGACCTGTGCTGGGAAATGACTACTGCTAGGGGTATAGAGGGACTTTGTACCGTATGTCAGAGCCATGCACTGACAGGGATGCTAACACAAGGCCTAGGCTGTTTAATACTATGAGCCAAAATTAAGAGTGTGACTGTGCTCATCCGCATCCTTCAAAGTCGTGATAATGATTGTTTGGTCTCCCGACCCAGGCGTTTATTGCTGCAGCTGGAAGCAACAAAGAACAGCAAAGGGGCTGTTTCAGGGGGCAAGACTGCCAGTGGGTCCACCCCAGATAGCAGCCTTGTCACTTATGAACTACATTCTCGGCCTGAGCAGGACAAGTTCTCTCAAGCTGCCAAAGTAAGTGTGAATGTAGTATTGGTTGATGGGCCCCTCGGGAGTGTTCTGCCCCCCTTCCAGGATCAGATCAGGGAAGAGATGCTGCTAGTGCTTCCGATTCTTCTTCGTGTCCCAATTCTCAGTTGTCTCATCCATCTACTTACAATGCTGTGTGACTAGAGATGGTTTCCAAGGAAAGGAATCCTTTGGCAAAGTGGTGGGGTTGAGGAAGGGGAGTGGCAAGCAGACAAGAGAAGAGGAGCCTCTTGCCTCCTGCTGAGGCAGTGAGGAGGTTGACAGGAAATCTCTGTACCTTCCTTCCCCTAGGTTGCAGAACTTGAGAAGCGCCTAACAGAGCTGGAGGCCACTGTACGCTGTAACCAGGATGCTCAGGTCAGGTGCTCTCCCATACTTGGTGACCCTCAGATCCTACCCTGATCCTTAAGGTTGATGACATAATACAGGAGCATGGGATAAGTTAGGAAAGGGCGTCAGTTAGTGCAGAGGTTTCCAAATTTATCTGTCCTACTGTCTTCAGAAAAAAAATAACAGTAGAGCACCCACTTGGAGATCTGCCTTAAGTGAACATAGTGCCCTCCAATTATACCCAAAGTTACTACTGGCCCCTACATCTTTCCAAGGGGAAAGACTGCCAGTGGTCCACCCCAGATAGCAGCTTTGTCACTTAAAAACTGAGCTAGAGGATTATCCAGTGGGTGACCAGCTAGAACTGGAAAGGATAGGCAGGTGTGGTAGAAATCACATGGAAATAGAAGAAACTCTTTCTTGTTTCCTTTTCTCCCCACCAGAATCCCCTTTCTGCAGGTCTCCAGGGAACCTGTTTAATGGTGAGTGTAAAAGGAACTGGAGTATGGGATTACAGGGGATACTGGGAATGGGGTTCCTTTGAAAACTGTTTAGGGTTCTGTAGTTAAAATCATCTACCGTGGAATATAGGGTGTCTCTTCCCATCTGATCCTTTCCTCTTCATGAAGCCTGTTCCAACCCTACCCCCAGGAGACTGTAGAGCTGTTGCAGGCAAAGGTGAGCGCCCTGGACGTCACAGTTTTGGACCAAGTGGAGGCTCGGCTACAGGTATTAGAGAGCACATTGGATTAAAAATAGCTTGGGACTTTGGGAGTCCTGGGTTCCCTTTCAACCCTAAAATCTGCTTTCAGAGTGTCCTGGGGAAGGTGAATGAGATTGCCAAGCATAAAGCCTCCGTAGAGGATGCAGACACACAAAGCAAGGTCAGGAAGACACCATTCTCCCCATTTTCATGTTTTTGTCCCCTCATTTCTCCCCAGTCACCTTGGTGGTAAACCATGGTAGGGAGCATGGGATCCTCAGGTCCCTGTCTTCACAAGCTCTATCCATGAAGAAAGTTCAGGCTTTCATGGACTCTTTTCCCCATAGACCCTGCCCATTCCAGTGAAATTACCCTTGATTTTGCTCACTGAAGGCTCAGCTGTCCCCTCTGGGATTTGTCCTATCTCTGCAGGTGCACCAGCTCTATGAAACCATACAGCGCTGGAGCCCTGTTGCCTCTACCCTTCCTGAGCTGGTGCAGAGACTTGTCTCCATCAAGCAACTGCACGAGCAAGGTGAGAAGCCTGCTGTTGGGGAGCCAAGAATTGAAAAGTGGGTAACTTCCAGTCCTTTTTTATCTTGAATTCTCACCTACCCATAACTTGACTGTTCCTTAGCCATGCAATTTGGTCAGCTCCTGACACACTTGGATACCACACAGCAGATGATTGCTAGTTCCCTCAAGGACAATACTACACTCCTGACTCAGGTATGTGTACCTTTGTTGGTCTATTACTTCCCTTTAGTGGTTATGGGACCCTGGACAGTGTTAACCCCCATTTCACTCCGCTTGGGAAGCTGCATCTATGTTATATAGATCCGATGAAGTAATATAGTTGTTAGATGGTAAACACTTCTTCCTATAAAAAAAGTCTACTCTCTCTCTTTGTAGTTTCATCATAGTTCTACAGCCACCTCCTCACTTGGGTCCCAATTCACATACTGCTGAGCAGAGGACATTGTTGTGGTTTTCTTGGCCATATGTGGTGATGCTGAAGGCTTACTACTGGCTCTGTGGTCAGGAATCTCTCCTGGCATGCTCAGATCACCATATGCAATGCTAGAAGATTCAACTAGGATCAGACATGCAAGGCAAGGGCCTTACCCTGTATTATTAGCTTACTTTTTTTTTGCTTTTTGGGTCACACCCAGCAATGCTCAGGAATTACTCCTGAGGCGCTTGTGGACCATATGGGATGCCAGGGATTGAACCCAGGTCACCCGCATGCAAGGCAAATACCCTACCCACTGTACAATCACTCCAGCCTTGTACTATCTTTCTAGACTCTCTCTGCACAAAACACTAAGGAATACGGTATTTGAAATCAGGAGCATACTCCAACCTGATGCTGTCGCTTCTTAACTGGTCCAGGCAATGATCCTCACCTCCTTCTGTCATCCTTTTAGTAGTATCCAGCATGTAGTCACTGTATTTCTGTTAGGTGCATTGTTCTTAGCATAGGGAAAGCATTCAGGTTGAAGAGTAGCAACAAAGGACCAGCAAGATGCCAATTGTGTGTATAGTACTTATATAGTACATTATTCGTCGAGGATCTTTTTCTCAAAGTTTGAACTAAATAATAGTTGGTCTTCATTACATAAGACAGATCAAAGAACTGTTCTGGTTGAAATTAGGATGGCAATTCTTGAATTACCTCAGTTTATAGCACCGAGCTAGAACCCTCTGCTCTGGGCCCCCTAATCTGTATATCCCTTTCTTGTCTTCTCAAAAGGATTTTTTATTCAGGTGCTCATCCAGGACAGCACCTGGACCTGACAGAAAGTAAAACATTCCTACCATTTTCTTTATCTCTGTCATTTTCTAGGTGCAGAAAACCATGCGTGAAAACCTGTCCACGGTTGAGGGGAATTTTGCCAACATTGATGAACGAATGAAGAAGTTGGGAAAGTGAGCACCTCTGGGAGTATAGAATAGGGGTGATCCTTACTCCTATGAACTCTTAACAGCTTAACATAGGGTTTTCCATAATTATAACTCTCGCATCCCCATCCCATTCTACACGGGGGCAAGGGGCTCTTATTGCATGATGACTGTAGAGTGGTAGCTGGAGAAGAGTAAATGGTAATCTCTCCTCGGGCCTCAGGATGAGGACCTGGCTGCAGCCACATGCGGGCCCCTGCCTACTACTACTTTGCCTGGTGTGTGTGTGGTGGGGGGGGTGGGGGGGGGCATTGGGTCCTGTCTTCCAGCACAGCTCTTTAGCTGACTGTGATACTGTACAACTGTTTCTGACCATTAAATGCTGTTGTACTCTGTGTGACCTCTGCTGTATTTCCTGGGGGAAGAGGCAGCACTGAGAGACATTCACAGGACAATAGGCAGGCTGAGCCACTCTCTACTACCGTAAGGACTTGTTCCATGTTCTTATCTAAGAGCTAAGGAAGAAATGAGTACAGAGTCAGAGCCAGAGTTTCAAAATATTCTCATCTGTTAAATTAAGAGTGTCTCCCATAGAAAAGCAGTGGAGGCCCCACAGGGCAAGTACAAAACAGAATTAAAACTCCCAAGGGTCTCGTCTTTACAAAAGAAAAGGCAGGAGGCAGCCCCTGGACAGCTGGTCATGCTGGCCGCTCCGGTTGGACCACGTTGCATAATCCTCAGTCGCATCATCACAACGTCTCTGAGCATTTTGATGGGGGAGAAGGGGCAGTGTAGTGTGTGTGGGAGGAGAGGCCCAGAGGGCTCTCTTGGCCCCCTTACCCCCTTTTTAGATCCCAGAGGAAAGTAGAGGGAAGCTGGCTATACCTTGCAATGAGACTATGTGTTTCAAACCTGGGGACGGGTAAGAGGGGATCTGTGCTTTGAGCAACCTGAGCCAGAGGCAGAGGGTGTTGGAGGGGGGAGGGGAGGATGCATGACGCTTATTGCTTTGTACCTTTCACTGGGAAGGAGGGCAGCAGCCAACAGTAGCTCACAGGTTTGTAAACTGAGCCTGCTGGCTTCAAGAAGGGAGGCAATGAAGTCGAATTAAATATAAAAGTCATTTGTGCAAAAATAACTTAAACAAATAAAAGACCTGGGGAAGGGGCTGTTCCCCTTAGCCTGGTAGGGAGAGGGCCATATACCACCCCCCCAGGCCTTTTCAGTGACATGGCTTTGGGGGGAAGGGGTGAGCTTCCCTACCCCCTGCAATGGCTCAGGATGGGATTGTAGGGGAAGGGTTTGCATTTGTGCTCTGAGTGGGGAGTAGTGCCCCCACCCACTGTCCACAGGTGCAGGTGGCTGGCAGGGGCTCCCAAGGCTCAGCACTCAGCTCTCCCCAGTCAGGGTCAGGTCCAGCTCCAGGTATGGCTGTTAGGGGGCCAGTTTCCTCCTCTTGTTTTTGGCAGGACGGCCAGGGCGGGCCCGGGGAGGCAAAGGGACAGCCGCCTATACAAGAGGGGAAGTTGACAAAATGACCAAACAGCTAGGTGGCAGGCCAGCTTTCATTTCTCCCCACTCCCTCCAACCCCATTTTCCTCTTCGCATCCCCATCTCCCACCCCCCACACTTACTCGGGTTGCGGGGCTGGGGTCCAACGTAACGTCCTGGCGGGAGCTATTGCTGTTCCGGGTGGGGCTGCAGTGAGAACACACGTGATCAGGAACCACCTAAGCATCAGGCAAACTTCACCTTGAGTGGAAAACTTTCTCCATTTGGACAGGAGTGGAAGGGCAACCTTAGTCCTGTTCGCGTAAGTACCAGCTTTTTGAAAGCCAAGCCACTTTAGACATTTCTAGCAAGCCGAGCAGAAGTGGGGAAAGGCCAGGACAGTGATGGGTACAATACTCACTTGTACTTTCTCCTCCGGCCACGACGAGACTTTCTAACTACCCCGGGGGGCACCTGGGAAAAGATGGACTGTGTGCATAGGAAGTTAGGAAAAGGTACCATGGCCCAGCCTTTCCTCAGCCCGTCAGCCCCAGCCTCTCTGACTTACCTTAAGGTCCTCAGAATGGGGCCCAGGAGGGGATGGATCCTTGGGCTCAGCACCCCCTTCTGCCAGCTCCCCATTATGCTGCCAATGATGGGTCCTTCTTGGGGATCGTTCCATTTGTCCATTGAAGCCACCGCGTGCCCCCCACTTGAGGGCCAGTCGGCCAGGCTCCCGCCGGCTACCAGGCTTTCGGCCCCGGCCTGGCCTGGCCTCACCATTAATGCCCCTAAGTCCCCCTCCTCCCCTCCGGCCCCGTTTCCCTGACCCCCTCCCAGTGAGCAGCTCAGGGACTGGGGGGTCGGGAGAACTGTGGGGTGGGGCTAAGGCACTGAGGGGAGGCCGGGCAGGCTCCGGTTCTAGGGCTGAGGCGGGGCTCTCGGGAGCCAGACAGGGTGCTTCTGGCTGCTCTGGAGGAATCTGCAGCAAAGGATAACACGTCTGTTTCAGACCTGGCCCTCTGCTCCTGTAACTCCAAACAGCTCAAGTTCCACTTGGGGGAAAAGGGAAAAGGTCTCTCCCCGGCAAGCACATACCCACGCCCTCACCTGGAGACTCTGTAGCAGGCAGGCTAGGGGACTAGAACCCTCTGAGAGGGGCGGAGGAGCTCCCCCACCCGGGAGAAGCTGCAGCCCCAACTGGCCAGAGAGAAGAGGGCCAGGAGGCTGCAACAGGCTGGGGAGGGCTCCAGGGCTGCTGGTCAGCGAAGACAGGTCACCTGTTGAAGGACAATGCGGTGGTTTTCCCTAAGCAACCTAGCGGGCTTTAGGGAGGAAGCCCCATTACTTTCTTGGATTTGTCCCGGGGTCAAAGACTTCCTTCCAAATTCACCCAGTCTCTATACCAACTGCTTCTATTCTTCTCTTTACACTAGTCTATGTAGACTCACCCAGCAGGCTGGCACTCAGCAGAGGGTTAAGGAGTTGGGGGGGTCTCCCTGAGTTGGAGGGGGCCTTGCCCAGAGAGGAGGCCCCCGGGTCAGTAGTTGCCGTGGTGACACTGGAGGTAGGTGGTCCAGGTTGGGGGGCACTCAGGACACAGGACTGAGGAGAAAGAATGGTATCAACACTTCCGTGTGTAACCAGTAAAACTTGTTACTTTCACACACACAATCCCAGTAAAGCCTCACATGCACTAGACCATGCTTACTGAATAGACTGTACTTGCAGCAAGAAATAAGCCCACCCCAAGGCCCTGAGGAGGAGAAAGCCTTTGATTCCCAGCTCCCATCTCTGATTCGGTCTCCTGTCCTGTCCCACCCAATCACCACCATCCTCACCTGGGGGGGTGTCCCCGAGGGGGGATCCAGGCTGGCAGCCAGCAGCGCAGAATTTAAAGCTATGAGGGTAGGGGGCGCTGAAAGTGGGGGGAACAGCAAGGGGGGAAGGTCTCCCAAACCTGAAAATGTCTCCCCGCTTGGACCCCCAGCTCCCTCTGCAGATCCCTCCCCATCCCCAGCTGTGGGGCCCAGTGCCAACAGGGGCAGGAAAGAGGCAAGGAGGTTGCTAGGAGGTGCAGAAGGGGGTGGAAGGAGATCAGAGGGGGGAGGCGGAAGCAGGGAAGCCACCAAAAGTGAAGGTCCTTCGGGCTCGCCTGGGGCTACGGGAGGGCCAGGTCCCCCTGGTGGGGGTAGAAGGGGCTCAGGGGGAGGCTGTCCCCCTCCCCCAGCCAGCACGCCAAATAAACTGTGGTTGAGCAATGGAGAAGGTGGAGGCTGCCCTAGACTCAGAGGGAGAGGCAAGGCCCCGAGCATCCCAGGGAAGCCGGCTCCACTCAGCGCCAGGCCCTGCTCAGGGCTGGGGAAAGGGAAGGCCTCCCCTCCAGCCAGGGGAGGCAGAGGGCAGGCTGGGCCTGCCCCCATCCCAAGCCCTTCTGATGGGCTTTGAAGCACCGGGCTGGGAACTAGGGGGGCTTTGGAGGCAGCTGGTGGGGCAGGAGCGCCTGCAAAGGAAAAGAGAATCAGCTCAAGGGAGATCCTTTCTCCCAGCATCCGCACACACACACACACACACACACACACCGCCCCAGAACTACCAAAAAGCTCTGTACACACACACACACACACACACACACCCTTTCTCCCAGCATTCGAAGAAAACACACACACACACACCCCTTCTCCCAGAATCCGAAGAAAACACAAACACACACACACACACACACACACCGCCCCAGAACTACCAAAAAGCTCTGTACACACACACACACACACACACACACACACCCTTTCTCCCAGCATTCGAAGAAAACACACACACACACACACCCCTTCTCCCAGAATCCGAAGAAAACACAAACACACACACACCCCCGCCCCAAAACTACCAAAAAGCTCTGTGGTCGGCCTCCCTACCGTGGGCTCACTCACCTGGCACATTGCTGAGGCTGCCACTGGTGGTCCCAGGCAGGGAGGGCTGGATGGGGTGCCTGGGCTGGGGAGGGCTCCCTGAGGAGAGGGTCGGGGGAGGAGGAAGGTGTGCATCTGACCCCAAAAGGTTAAAGCTTCCATCAGAGTGGGAAGGGCCAGGGGCGGAGAGTCCCAGCAGGGACAGCACAGAGGGGAGAATTGGCTGCGATGGTTCTGGGAGAGGAAAGGGCTGGGGAGCAGGGGCAGGGGCCCGAGGACGGCTCCTTCTAGGGGTCTGAGGGCCTCCCCCTTCTAGTAATCGCAGTACAGTTGGGGGTCGGCGGGGACGACGCTGCGAAGGGCGGGGGGACGAGGCGTAGGAAGTTGAGGGCACCTGGGCACCGGGCCTTCGGCCCTGTAAAGTGCTGGGAGGGGGGAGAGGGGGTTGCTGTGCCTTGGCCGCTGCAGAGAGGAGGCTGCTAGCAAGGAAGGGCGGTGCCCCCGGCCCCTCCACGGTGGGAGCCCCTCCAAGAGGTCCCAGAACCAGGGGCAGGTGCATAGTGGCTGAAGACACTGGTGGCTGAGTGGCAGGACCAGGGGTGCCAGGGGGACCAGGGAGATTATTGCTCGGGGGGATGAGAGAGGGAGTTAAGGCATCACTACAGTGGAACAGAGGTGGGTCTGAAGGGGGTGAGGAGGAAGCATGGGGGGCTGGAGGAGAACCCAGGTCAGGGGGCACCAGGCTGGATCGGAGGGCAGCCCCCCAGTTGTAGGAGGGGGCATTGAGGCTGATAGCAGGTGGTGGGGGCGGGGCTGGAGAGGGGGCATTTCCCCTCGGAAGGAAGCGAGGGCTGCTACTGCCCCCAGGGGGGACCGGATCAGGAAGTCTCGGTGGTGGTGGGAAGAGCCCAGGGCCTGCTAGAGGCGGGTAGGCCTGTGGAACTGAGGGAGCTTCTGAGGGAAGGGAGCCAGAACCCCCATTAAGTGGAGTCGTCGGAGGGACTCGACAGGGAGGGTGGGTAGAGGGGGACCCTGGGGACACAGTGTGGAACATTTGGGGGCTCGCTCCTTCTCCTGCAATGAAAGAAGTGAAGGGTCAGCCTGTGGCTCTCCTTTCGAGGACGTTCTTGTCCTCTGCACCCACTGCCCGTAAATTCCCAACCTCCCTGTGCCTACCAAGCAGCTCCCCACTCCCCGCTTCTCTGCCCCCTCTCAGATCACTTCCACCATCCCTACTCCAGCCCCCGGATTTTTCCAATCGCAAGCCTTCAGGAAAGTAGAGGAGACTCACCAGGAGAAGAATGTGAGCAGGTGGTCTCCATGCTGCGGTACAGAGTTGCCATAGCAACGGCTTTCCGCCGGTGGTTGCACAGCTTGGTCATGTCCTCCTCTGATGCTGGCCCCACCCCAGTCCCACCCGGGGTCACCGGGGCCAAAGGGTCAAAGTTGAAAACCTGTAAGTTACAGGCCATGGACAGAGACTCTGAGGAGGTGGGGTCTGGGAGAAGGGCTAGCCCGTCATCATCTGCATTTACCTCTCTTCTCTGCCCCCCTACCACCACTCTGACCTTGGGGACATTGAGTGGACACTCCAGACCGCACTTGCAGGTCCCATCGCTGAGGAGGTAGCGCCGGGTTTGCTCCAAGGAAGACAGCTCTGTGCCACTTGGGCTGCAAGGAGACAGGGTCGGACATGGGGGTGAGATGTCACTGAATGAGGGGATACCACTGCACGACAGACAGCTCCTTATCAGAGGCCTTTCCAGGGAAGAGCAGCAGGTGGGACAAGTGGAAGAGACTGAGGAAAACAGACTCAGAGGGCAAAAAATACGAAGAGGCATCAAGGACAGCAAAGGAAACCAGTGTGTTAGCACGCAGGGCGTTGAGCAAATGCGAAAAGCCAGGCTACCGAGGGGCGGGGGGCACAGGGCGGAGGGACCGAGGACCTTACCTGATATAGAGCACAGCACCCTCTCGCACACAGCGCTGCCAGCCGATGGGGACAGATGTGGCCACAGGGCCCCCAGCTCTGTCTGCTCCACTGCTCTCATTGCCCCCATTCATTGTGTGTAATCAGCTCCCACGTGCCTGGTAACACAGACATCCATGTGGGCACCAGAAAGAGGACACTGCTCTGGATCCCTGAGGGGTTACGGGGAGACCCAGGAGGTGCAGGGCAAAGAGGAAAGAAACCCTCCTGGAGTCGGCTAGGGCATGATCGGCAACCTCTGTCATCCCACCAGGCTACCTGAACATCTCTGCAAACATCGTGGGGTCGAGTCTAAAGCCGGGGCCGCCAGCTTAGCCCACACCTGCAACATGGGAGAGACACGAGACTGTCAGGAGTGTCCCCCACCCAGAAGAATGCCACAGCCCAGCCCCTCTCCAACAGAGATCCGAATAATAGGTGGTCAGTGTCCCTAATATCTGTTGTCTCCCAGCTGACTCCACAAATGTCCTTTCCACATCCAGTCTCCAGGGCCCCACGGGGGAAGGCCTCCACTCCCAGGAACCCCGAGTCACAGCCCCACCACCAGACAGAAGCAGGGCAAGGCCCCTTTGTCCCACCGGAGGTAGATTTCAGGCAGGAGAGCAGGCAAATTCACAGGAGGCCAGGCCACTAGGAAGTTCCCCAGAGTCGGGCCCCTCCTGCTCCCTCCCCCAAGGAAGATCATATAAAAAGTACAGATTGCCCCACAGGTCACCAGGCAAGTGCCCAAATGCCCGCTGGGGTGGTACCAGCGGACCTCCCCCCAAGCCCGCTTCATTAGACAATCACTGATCTAGTTCGGCTGGGTCCTGGAGAGAAGGGCTGGAATCAGGTCTGGCTTCTCCCAGGATCACAGAAGCTCCAGATTCCGCAGCGCCTCAGCCGCCCCCAGCCCCCCAACCTAAAGCAGGGGTGAAGATCCAGCACCTCCTATTCCCCCTGGCTTCAAACCAGCTGCAGGGCGGGCTCTGCTCGGTGCGGGCGCCCCGCGAACCTGCAAGCACCGGCCCCAACCTTACCATCGTTGCCACCCGACTCTGGCGGCTTCGAAACTTTCCCTCTCATAACAAGGCGCCCTGTCACCCAGCCTGCTTCCCTCGGCTCGGGGAGGAGGGGAAGGCGCACGAAGTAGGAAGGAACTTGGGGAGAGGGCGGGCGGCGGGTGGGCGAAGCACTGAGGAGAGGGGGGCGAAGAAGGCAAAAGTCAAGCGACGAGGAGAGACCCGGCAGGGGCAGGTGAGGCGGGGAGCGGAGCTGAGGCCGGGGAAGGGGCCGGGAGGACGCGGAGGGGCAGGGGGAGGGGAGGGGGAGGGGCAGGGGGGGCCGGGCCCTGCACTCACCGCGGCCCATGGTTCGGCCGGCCCCGCCCTGCGCAGTCGCGGCCCAGAGGGTGAGTGGGAGGGAGTGGGAGGAGGGTCGGTGGAGCCCGAGCCTCCGGTACGGCCCCGGCCGGTCCTAGCAGGAAGCGCCGCCGCCGCCGCCGCGGATCACCGAGCGGCCTCCCGCGCATGCGCCATAGGGGCCAGGGGCAGCCCTGGGGATTCCGTTCCCAGAAGGCACCGCGCAGGCTGCCGCCGCCGCCGCCGTCGCTGCCGCCGCCGCCGCCGCCGCCGCCGCCGCCGCCGCTGCCCGGACGGGAGAGGGGCGGGGCCGGGCCCCCGCCCAGCGGCCAACGACGAGCCAACAGGAGGAGCCGCAGTGCGCATGCGGGAGCGCGCCTGCCCCTCCCCCACAACCCCCATTAATCCCCTGGAGAACAAACACCCCACGCGGCCCCCCCCCCCCCGCGGAAGGATCTGAGCCTCTTCCCTGGCCACCGGTGGCCAATCCCAGCCTCCCCGGGGAGGGGCCCCTCGCACAGCCAGATTGTGGGGGGAAGCCAGGAATGCCTGGTCCGGGAGGGGCCGGTCCCAAAAGATGAAAGTCGCGACTTGCCCTGCCCCGCCCCGAGGCTGCCCGGCTAGTGTGCCGGGACTTGACCCGCCTCCCCAGGTCAACATGTCACAACACGACCTCAGCCTGTCAAGTCACATGACCTCTGCCTGTCACTGACAACCTAGTCATGTCTCTGGGCCAGGGCAGACCATCTGGTCTAAGCCACCCCACCCCCGTTTCCAGACGGGGAAATGGAGGTCTGGAGCGACGGTGGAGGCCTGGCTAAGGACGTGTCGCCGTCTTCCTGCCACCTTTATCTGCCACCTGGCCACAGCCGCCTCGTGGCAATTCCTACTTGTACAAACTCTGGCTGCCCCCTGGAGGGTTTGACAGGATATGTAACAGGCCGCCACAAGGCCCGCTTTCCACCTAATGGCGCACGGAAAATACTTGGCGTGGTGTTTTTCACGTTTGTTCTGGCTGCCTTCTAGGTTCATAATTCTCACTCTCCCTCACAACCGATCGTCTTGTATTTACAGACACGAATGCTCAAGCACAGAGATCGGGCAGCTGGACGAGGGTCCCTGCGCAAGTGAGGCGTAACAGGGTAGAGTAGGGGCTGCTGACAATTCAGAAGGCACTTGTGTCCACAACTGCACAGTGTCGGGGCAACAAAGTTCTGTTGTCCAAACACCAGGAGGCCTTCGACCTGAGCAAGATCTCATCCCAGCAGGGAGTCACAGTGTGCAGAGAAAAGGGCGAGTGCTAGTCGTTGACGAAGGTCACCAGAGCACCACGGGGTTCCTAGGAAACACTGGGGGGAGCCAAAACACGTGAATTCTGACTTGCTAGGGCTCATCCAAAACTGTCTGAAGTTGGGTTCGCATTCGGAGGAGCCAAACTGACTAGTCAAAATATTCAGATACTTCCGCTCCTTCAGCGGGAGCAACGGGCTAGAAGAGACCGCTTGAAGGCGAGAGACACAAAGCTGGTAGAGGACGCAAACTTTCGGGAGGGAAGTCTAAAAGCCCCCGCGTCCACTAGCTGGAGGGCGGCTAAGGAAATGGGAGAGCGTCCTGGAGGAGATAAGACGGGGGTCTAATGCCCGGTGGGCAGAAAAATACGCTCCCCCGGAGATAAGCTGGAAGCGAGGTTTCACAAGGCAGCCGAGGGCGGCCGCAGTTGATGGCCGTTGGGGCCGTTGGGAGCCGACGCGGGCGCCCCGCCCTCTCCCCTCTCCCACACCCTCCCCCCGCGCCTCCCACCACCCTCGTAGTCCCCTGCGCGTGCGCGCGCGGACACCGGTTGCCAAACATTGCATCATCCCCGCCCCCCTTAACTCCCCTCCCCCGTCCAGCTCTCCCCTCCGCGCGCGCGCATGACTCACCCACCGCCTCCGCGAAGCCTCGTGACCCAAAGTCACTTCCGGGTCCAAAGCTACGTCGACCCCCGAGCGGGAGGGAGCCACAGGGGCGGTATCGCGGGTCTCCTGAGTGGCGGATGTCAGGCTGAGGCGGGGCCAACTCCCGCGTGCCGCTTTCCTATTGGCAGGCCCCTGGACCCGCCCCCGAGAGGAGGGCCGGATCGCGATAAAAGGGCGCCGCGCCGCGCCGCCGAGGTCACAGGCTTGAGTGGAAAGACATAGAGCATATCATGTTGAAGATGAGCGGGTGGCAGCGACAGAGCCAAAACCAGAGCCGGAACCTGAGGAGAGAGGCGAGTACCGACTCCCCGCCTACTTCCCCCCCCGTCGCGAACACTGCTTTCCCCTCGGAGTGGGGCCAGCCGCTCCTTAGGACGTGGCCTCACCCTCCCATAGTGACGTTAGCGAGTGTCGTGGGGCGGGATGCGAAGATCCCGAGATTCTGGAGAGGGGCGTACAGGCTCCTCTTACCGGGGAAGACAGGCCCACTCCGCCCTCGCCGGGAGCACCTTGGGCCAGGCGACCCCTGCTGCCTGTGCATCCTCGCGCCTCGCTGACCCCAGGCCTCCCGGTTGGGCCTGTCGGGTGGGAGGCGGGCCGGCGGGACACACCCCCGCCCTGGCAGCCTGGGTGGCCGCTCCCCCGCCTCCGGCCCCGGCTGCGGGTCACGTCATTAGCCGGGACTCCCGGACCCGCTGCGGGATTTGCCCGCCTCCCCCCTAGCGCAGGGCCGCACCTTCAGGGGACTGACAAACCTTTGGGAAGAGGGGTGCCGCGGGGTGCCCAGCGGGGTTTTTCCCCTTCCTCCAGATGGCCCCGGTCTCCCGCCCAAGAGAGCATCCTGGATCTCTTAGGCCACGTGGGGTCTCCCCCGTGTATTGCCCTAACCTCCCAGGACTGGTCCCGTGCCTCTTTGCCCTGTCCAGTCTCCAGCTAATCTCGGTGTAAACGTTGCATCAGGCCAGCCCCCTGTTTGGCTCTGCAACCCTCTGGCCCGGGGCGCCACTGCTGATGAAAGCATGTCCCACGCAGTGGAAGGCGAGGAGGGCTCCCCAGGGAAGACAGCCCTGCAGAGAAACACTCGGGGTGATATTGCATATCCAGTCCCGGGGGACAGGCACCTGCCTGTCTGCTGTTGGGCTTCATCCTTCCTACCCTGTGAGAATGACTGGGGAGAATTTATCCATTCATGCCAGGCAAATACTTCAGGAGCACCTGCTTCTATGCCATGCAATTGGGGGCCCAGAATAGATCCAGGAAGGAACAAGAGGTAGAAAACCCCTCTGCTCTCACTGCGCTTGCATTTCAGCAGGAAAAGACACGCAGTGAACACATACGTGCCTATGGAGAAAACTAGAGCAGAGAAGGTGGTCAGTACTTAGGGTGGAGATCACAGGGGGTGAGTCCCTCAATGAGGTGACAGTTCAGAGAGGAGAAAGGTACTGGGATTTGTCTCAGTGCATGAGTTTGATTCCCAGTATCACCAATAAATAAAGTTGGCTGCAGAGCTAATACAGGGGTTAAGACATCTTGCAGCCCACTGATTCCAGTTTGAATCCCTGGCACCATATGATGGACCCCTAGCACTGCCAGGGGCTCACTCCTGAGCATGATCATCACTGAGTGTGGCCTAACACTCCACCCATATTAATACAAAGAAATAAAGGAGAAGGCAAAGAAATAAAGAAGGCATACAAATATGTAGAAGAAAAAGCTTTCTAGAAGGGGACAGCAAGAACAGAGGTTCAGAGGGGGGAGTTTGCATAGTATCTTTAGGGAATAGGAAACCAGACAGCTGAACTAATTTGAGCTGGTGAGACATCAGCAGGGATAGATTGTATAGGGCTTTTGAAGTCATTTTAAGGCTATTCTTTTCTCTCTTTTTTGGCTGTGTGAGGGATCAAACTTACATGAAAAGTGCTGTTTTAATGTGTGTGAAATTGAAAGTCACTGGAGAATTTTGAATGAAGGGATAACATGGCATTACTGAAGTTTCAGAAAGGCTCTCTGAAGATCAGGGCTGTAACTCAGTCTGTGAGCACATGCTTTGCATGTATGAGGCCTTGGCAGTCTGCTCCCCTCAACCCCTATCACACCACCAGCAACGAAAGGGCTTTGACTTCTTGTGAATATGCTTAGGGGTGGCAAAAGTAGAACCTGGGAGTCCTTGAAAGTCAGACTTTTGCAATAATCCAAGAGGGATGATGGTCATTTGATTTTTTTAAATAGAAAATAATGGAATTGATGACCTATTTAGATTCTGGGATGAAAATGAGTTAAGAAATTTTGTGGGGCCTGAGAGATAGTACAGTAGATATGGTATTTGTCATGCACATAGCTGACCCAGGTTCAAACCTTGGCATTCCATATGGTGCATTGCCAGGTGTGGTCAAAAAATTTTTTTTCTGCTGGGGTGCCAGAGTAGCAGTACAGCAGGTAGGATGCTTTCCTGGCATGCAGCAGACAGACCTGGGTTCAGTTGCCAATTGCCAGCACCATATATAGTTCCCTCAGCACCACAGGGAGTGATCACTGAGCCAGAAGGAAGCTCTGAGCACTTCTGGGTGTGGCCCAAAAACAAAAAAGAAAATTTTCTGGGGGCCAGAGACATAGTTACAGCAGGGCATTTGTACACAGCTGACCTGTCAGATCCCTGACACCACATAAGGCCAGGACTGATCCCTGAGCACAGCTGGGTATGGCTCAAAAACAGAAAAAAAGAAAAAAAAAAGAGGGGCCGGAGCGATAGTAGAGTGGGTAGGGTGTTTGCCTTGCATGTGGCCAACCCCAGCATCCCATATGGTTCCCCAAGCACTGCCAGAAGTAATTCCTGAGTGCAGAGCCCGGAGTAACCCCTAAGCATTGCCAGGTGTGAATCAAAAAGCCAAAAAAGAAAAACTGCCAAGGCCAGGGATGTAGCACAGCAGTACAACACTTGCTTTGTATGTGTGAAACCCTGACTTTGATCCCTGGCACTGTCAAAAAAATCATTTGTTGGTGGTTTTGATTGATTTGTGGGGAGAAGGGAAAAATCAAGGATGCACCAAAGTATCTGTCTGAAGTACCTAAAGTTGCCATTTAGTAAGATGGGGAAGATGATAGAGAAAGTAGATTGTCTTTTGGGCGTAAAGTTTGAGATACCTATTAGATATCCAAAAGGGAAATGGCAAGTACACACTTAGCACAGTTGATGGTCCCTGGAGAGTTCCAGACTGGAAATGTACACTTGGAGGACAGTAATGTGGGAATAGAATTTAGAAAATGCCACTTGTTTTGTTTTCTTGTCTATAGTCGTCCTTACCCTGGCAGTTCTGCCTCGAATTTAGAGAATGCTGGACCAGGACTGTCATGGCCATTATGTAATCAGGACTCTAAATATCAGTGTCTAAAAATAAAGGAAGTCAGGTACCCCTCTGTCCTTGGAAATGGCTGTAGCGACCCTTAACTATCCATAATGTATAGCACAGTAATTAAGGAAGAACCAATAGGAGGCTGGGGATAAGAACCTGCTTTGGGGAGCCAGAAAGATAGTACAGCAATAGGGCACTTGCTTTCCTGCAGTGACCTGGGTTTGATCCCTGGCATCCCATATGGTTCCCCAACCACCACCAGGAGTAATTCCTAATTGAAGAGACAAGTAATCCCTGAGCATTGTCGTGTATGGCCCCAAGACAAAATAAGAACCTGCTTATTTCTCTTCCAAAAATCCCTAACTCTTATCTTTGATCCCCACAGTGTTCCCGAAGGAAGTCTATCTTCATACATCATCACACCTGAAAGCAGGTAAACTTAATAAACCTTTCACTAAAATGGCTGGAATGATCTCACCTTTCTGTGATATACAGATGTAAATAGATAGATAGAATAGCAGGACAAGAGAGTACAAGGAATCATACCTAATCACCCTTGAACCCTAGGCTATAGAAAAACTGAAGGCCAGAGAAGGTAAGAAATTGAGGTGGGAGCAGCAGCAGACAGTGGCAGGCGTCAGGAAACCTGTGCACACTGTGTAGAGGTGTGGTTTATCTATCTAAATCACAGACCCAACAACACTAAGCATGAAACCAAACCCACACTCTAATAATTAAACTGTCTGGGGGAGCTGGAGCAATAATACAGTAGGTAGGATGCTTGCCATACACGTGGCCGACCCAGGTTCAATTCTTCAGTTGAAATTATGAAAATACCCAGTGAAGGGCTGGACCAAATGGGTGCTGGATCCCTGACACCTATTTGGTCACCTGAACCTGACAGGAATGATACCTGAGTGCAAAGCCAGGAGTAAGTCCTGAGCATAGCCAATGTGGCAAAAATAATAATATAATAATGAAAGAGAAAGAAAGTACCCAGTGAAGGAGAAAGGAAAAAGGATTCAAACCTAAGTAAGGTTTGTTTTGAGACCACATTCATCCTTCTAGCTGTCCATAACAAGGGACAAATCATTATTCTTAGGGCATATGTTAATTGAAGCTAGCTTTGACTGAGCAGTCAGCCCCAGTGAAGATAATTGGCTTGTCTTACCACACCTCAGTCCCCATCTTGGCTGGACTGACCCAAAGGACTTTTGCTTGAGCTCCCACACAGGAGAAAGGAGTACAAATGGTCTGATAATTGGCTCTGGAAACTACCAGTGGAGTTCCCCAGGGGAGCTTAGGACTTCTACTAAGATCCTCCAAGAATGCTTATGCAGGGTCTGGAGCACATGTTCTGCATGCAGGAGCCCCAGATTGGTTTGAATCCTTAGCAGTACATGGTTCCTCAAGCACCACAGTAGCATGAACATTTAGCCAGGAATAAACCTTGAGCCTTGCTAGGTGTGGTTAAAAAACTTGTTTGGGGGCTACCACCTGGCAATGCTCAGGGCTTACTGCTGGCTCTGGGCTCAGGGATCACTCCTGGCAGTACTTGGGGGACCATATGAGGTGTGGGGGGCACTGACCCCAGGTCACCTACACGCAAAACAAATAATTTTTACCCACTGTACTGTTTCTGTGACTCCAAAAAAATCTTATACAAGCATGTTGCCTCTTCAAGGGAATAGTCAAAATGGCCAGGGGCCAATTCTTGTTTGGGGGGTTACAGTGGCAATAGGGAGGAAGTGGTTAGTGGAGAGGCTAGTGTGTCCCAGGGTCATTCCTAGAAGTGTTTTGGGGGACCATGAAGTGCTAAATCACACTCCAGTCCTTTAAACCATCTCCTTGGCCATAAGTTGATGAATTCTAAGCCTGACCTACTTTTAGGGATATACAGTTAGGATTATGCATGCAGAAGATGAAAAAAATCACTGAGCTGTATCCCCACCTCTGGATAGTATTTTGGGTATTGAGAATTTAGATATTTAGGTATTGAGACTACAGAGTCTCTGTCACAATGTGAAAACAGTGATAAACAGTGTGTAAATAAATGAATGCAGCACTGTTCCAATAAAACCTTACTACAAATAGGCAGGGTTTGCTGTGGTATAGACCAGACCAGGTGTCTTAAATAACTTTTTCCATTTGTGACCTGCTCCCCAATTTTTTTGGTTTTGGGGCCACACCTCGGTGCCGGGGGGCAGGAGGTACACCTGGTTCTGTGTTCAGGTTCACTCCCAACTGTGCTCAGAGGACTGTGCAGTACCAGAATCAAACCTGACCTCTTCACCCTTTTCATAGGGGAGGAGGGAAAGGGGGGCATATTCAGTGTTGCTCTGGGTTTACTCAGATCACTCCTGGTAGGGCTTGGGGGATCATGAGGGTTGCTGAAAGTTGAACTGGGTCAGCCTCGTGACCACCCACCCGAGAAACTTTTACAGAGGCCCTGGAAGTACAGAATAGATGTATAATAAAATCCAAATGAAATACTTCCTGTAATAAACCAAACTTAAAACTAAGTTGTAACCCCACATTGTTTTAGAAGCTAAGGTACAGACTGTCTGGTTTTGTGAAACGTTCCGCCACCCCCCATCCTGAGCATGTGCTTTTCCAGAGCCGGACCACAGCACAAAGATGGCAGCTGAGTCACTGCCTTTCTCCTTCGGGACACTGTCCAGCTGGGAGCTGGAAGCCTGGTACGAGGACCTGCAGGAAGTGCTCTCCTCAGATGAAAATGGGGGCACCTATGTGTCACCCCCAGGAAATGAGGTGAGAATGCTAGGCCTAAGCCCGCGGGGGATGTTGCGTTTCCTTCTCAGCTGATACTTACCTTCCCTTTCGTCATTCCCCTGAAGGGAGAAACAAAAACCTTCACCACTCTGGACCCTGCTTCTCTGGCTTGGCTGACTGAGGAGCCAGGACCAGCAGAAGCCACAAGCACCTCCCAGAGTCCTCAATCTACTGATTCCAGTCAGAGCTCCTTGGCTCAGGAGGAGGAAGAGGAAGATCAAGAGAAACCCAGGAAAAGGAAGCAGAGTGGCCAGTCCCCAGCCCGGGCTGGAAAGCAGCGCATGAAGGAAAGAGAACAGGAGAATGAGCGGAAAGTGGCACAGCTAGCTGAAGAGAACGAACGGCTCAAATTGGAAATCGACCGTCTGACCAGGGAAGTGGAGGCGACTCGCCGAGCTCTGATCGACCGAATGGTGAATCTGCACCAAACATGAACAATTAGGACCATCACTTCCCCGCACGCCACTGCTAGCCACCTTCTCCAGAAGTGGCGAACGACCATCTCCTCACCGATTATGTGCCAATTATGTGACCCAAAACCCCATAAATTCAGTAGGGGGGAGACATGAGCTAGACAAAAAGGGGGGTCTCAGCATGTATATAGAGATTGTAGATTTATTACTGTTCATATCCATTAAAGTGACTTTCTATCAATCAAGTTCTCACTTTCACTTTTTCTTCTTGCCTTTTGGGGCTTCAAGAGGTTTCCCCTCAGCTAAAGCCAGTTGTTTTTTCAGATCCAAGAGTTTAGCGACCTCCACAGCAATCTGGTTCTTGTCTGCCTTTTGTGCTTTCAGTTCTCGGACAATGTTGCCCTAAGAAAAAGATGATGAGGGAGTAAAAACAGTGACACTAGAAAGGACATGTTGGGTGTGTGGCTTTCCAGTCCCCACAGGGCTTAAGCTTTTGTACCTGTTTTGTCACTTCATCCGCCAGGACTTGTATCTGCTGTTGTCCAGCTGTTGTTGGGGTCTCTAAAACAGCTGCCTTGGGGGGCACTTTTGCCTGCAGAGCAATGACACAGTTAGAACCTGCTACCATAAATATGCTTTAGCCTAAGTTTTAAGTAACATCTCGAGAGAAAGTTTTACCTTTAACTCCAAGCACTCTTCTAGCTAAGACAGGAAAGAAAAACTATTAAGTGAGGAAGTAATAGAGCCGAGAGATGGAAAAAGTGATGAGGACTACTTAGGGACACTAGATGACATTGTGTCGCTGCTAGATAAGAGCAGTCTTTGGCTTTCTCACCTGACCCCCGCCGAAGCGCTGCTTCAAACTTTCAATCTGGTCATTTTCTAATTTTTGGAACAAGGGACTGACCTGTGAGGAAAAGAAAAAGGGTTCATTCATTGATAAGTTCTAAACTCTACCAGACTATAGAGAGGGCCATCCAACTCCAACTGCTAACATTCAGGAGAAATGTGAGCGTAATGCCTACCAAATACCTGTTGGTTTCAGTAAATCCAGAAAGAAAATGAAAGTCCAAAATATTACTAGTCAAAAAGTAAGCATCTAATAATGCTAGGCTGATGCAAAATTTTAGAGGTGTCCAAACTTTTGAAAACTACCATGTGTTCTCAATTGTAAGTCAGCTGATGGGAGACCAGGGGAATCTCCTTGTTTTTCAAATATGTACCAATTCTCTGCGTCAGGTACTGAGTTCTGACATGAAAAACAATGTGGATGTGTGACCCACAGGGAACACTGACCTTGCAGGCCGATACTGATACTAAGTTCTCTGCCTCTTCCTCAAATGCTGTACGGCAAAGGGAGAGTTTTGTTTGGTTCTTGGGATGCGGGGGACCACATGAGGTGCCAGGGAATGAACCGGAGCCAGCTGTGTGCAAGGCAAGTGCCCTACCCACTGTACTCTCTCTGGCCCGCAAAGGTAGGAATTTTGCGAAAGGTTGGTTATCCCACTCCCAGACTTACTGTGCCAATCTGGTGTCCTGCTGGTAAAGTGCATACAAAGTTGGTGGTTAGGACACTGCAAGCTGGAAGTGGAAGGTGCAGCTGAGTCTGGATGGTGGCACTGACAGTGGGCATATAGGGCTGGAGCATGATGGACATCAAGGCAGCTATATTTACTGCCAAGCCTGTCACTGTCCCTGCCCGCTGTCTGAGGAAGAAGAGGCAATGTTAGTCAGGAACGAGGACACAGCTTACCAGCCTGTAGTCAACCCTTATTACCTACCTGTCAGCTTCATCGCCTTTGATCCGCTTCCAGGGCTCATTCACCTGAATGTACTGGTTGCCATGGCGAGAGATGGTGAGGATACTGCGTAAGGCATCCCGGATACTGGGAGGAAGAGACAGCCAAAGGGTGGGTATTATAGGGTTCTCGACATGCCAGCAGATCACTGACAGGAGACAAGGCTGAGGAACTTACTGAACTTTTTCCAGCAGCTGGTGATAGTGCTGGAGCTCCAGGCTGACATGAGCCACCAGGCGCCGATCATCAGAGGTGAGCACCATCTCAGGCACACAACCCCCAAAAAACTTGGACACAAACATCCCAGCCCTTGATGGGAAGAAGAGAGGTGCAAAAGAGGAGTTACTGCCCACTTCCCGTAGAGAAATTTGAGTTGGTTTTCATAATTTTCTGTTCTCTCAGGACTGATATCTGGGTCCCTCAACTGAGCAGGCAAAGCATAATTTAGTTCTTATTCTCTATCTGCCCTAAGAATGTATGTCTACAATTAGTCCACTGAGCATCTCCCCAGCCCAATCACTTTATTAAATCAACAGAACGATCAAGTTGAAGCACCTAGTATTTGTTATCAAATAGTCTAGTGGGGACTGTCATTAAATGTGAATGACCAAATCTGAAAGGGTGGGATGCCATGGAGGATACTTTGTTAGACTGCAGAAGAGCAGACATAAAATTCAATAAGACTCTGAAGAGGAGACCATTAGTCTACCCCGATGCTGACATAACCCCTTCCTTCAGCCAAACTCTTCAGTTGCCTCACAAGTGGGCTTTTTTGGTAGGAGAGAACACATTTTCAACATGATAAAGAACATTAATAAAACAACTTGTAGGGCCTGAGAGATGAGTAAACCCTGAGCACTGCCAGGTGTAGCACAGAAACACACACACAAAAATTTAAAAAACCAGACCTGTAAACAAGTTTGCTAAATTTTATCTCTATGACAACTTAGCACACAAGACTTCCTCTATGTTCTAGATGCAGATCCAATGGATAGAAATCCACTTTTCACCCCCTCCAGCACCATCTCTCACAAAGTCCTGTTCATTTACCAGTCCTCACTCCTCTACCACCACCTGGAGAAACAGAACATCCCAAATCAGCTCATCTGCTGACTCTGACCCCTGGTCAATTCCCACCTGTTGATGAAGTTGCCCAGATTGTTAAGCAGCTCAGAATTATTCTTCACCATCATGTCGGTCCAGGAGAAGGCACTGTCCTGGCCCTCTGGCCGAATGTACAGCAAGTAGAAGCGCCAGATGTCTGCAGGGATCCCGGTGTCCTGGGCCATGTCCCCGAACACTCCCACGCCCCGGCTCTTAGAGAATTTTCCATCCTCGTAATTCAGGTACTCTGCATATAGAATGAGAGCCATCTGCTCAAATCATTTCTTTTTCACTGTGACCCACTGATTCTTCTTTCCCTTCCTCAGCCCCCGCCATGGACATTCAGCAACACGTCCCTTGAGCACACAAGGCTGGGGAAAATCCCTCCTCCTCCATTCCAGCCCTTTCCTCTCTGCTTCCCATTACAAAGCTGGAGCTTCAGATATTTACTTCCCAAGTTCTGTTTTCTCCTGGACCGAGTGCTCATGTTCTAGGTATATTCTATTTCACTCTGCTCCTCACTCAAGGCCTAGCAAGTCTCTTGAATCTTCCTACTACTATCTCAGGACTCCCTAGAAATATCCCATCTCTCTATTTTTTTGGGGTACCTGTAGCAATGAGATTTCTGACCAAGGTGTAGTTGTCGTCAGCTCCCAGGGCCGTACAAGGGAAGACCAAGCTGTGGAAGGGAACATTGTCTTTGGCCATGAACTGATAAAGGTCCACCTATGGAATCCAGTTGAGAAATGAGAGTTCCTGAGAATTTCTTCTGAGGTTCCAGAAAGATTAGCTACCCAATCCCAACGCCCCTAATACACACATGCACACATGCTGTCTGTCTGTCTGTCTGTCTGTCTGTCTGTCTGTCTCTCTCTCTCTCTCTCTCTCTCTCTCAGGCTAACCAAGAACTGCTCACTTGCTCTGGATTCTTCCACCATTTCTCCCATTGGTCTGTGTAGTTGGCTGTGATGGACAAATAACCAATAGTGGCATCAAACCAGACGTAGAACACCTGGAGGGTCAGGAGGAGGGACATGAAAGGAAGAAGGAACACAGGGAAAACTGCCCCACCCAGAGTTCCAGACTACAGCAGAACATAATCAACAGCTCATTCTGTTAGCCTGACGTCTCAACCCAAGGGCTGTGTAATAGATGAATAGAGGTTGAACAGTTTTTACCTTGTCCTCAAAACCTTCTAAGGGTACAGGGGTTCCCCACTTGAGGTCTCTGGTTATGCAGCGTGGTTTAAGGCCATCCCGAAGCCAAGAACGAGTGATGAACCGGGCATTGGGTGTCCAGTCACTGCCCGGCATTGTCTTCCCCAGCCAATCCTCGAGCGGGTTCTCAAGCTGAGAAGATAAGAGGAATTCCAAAGGCTGCTTTCAGACTGTCAGATATGGTTTACATAAGGATAAGTATGTAAGACCTTTTGTATAATTTGGCAAATTTATTTAAATAACTCATGATTTTGACATAGTATATCCACTTTTATGAATTCTAATCAACAAAGTAATAACATACCAAGTGCAGCACACCACATTTGATGGAGTTTAAAGCAGACGACAACCAATCTTAGTGGGACAGAGATAGATAGATAGATAGACAGACAGATAGACAGATATGTGTGTATAGATATAAATATAAGCACACAAGTCTCGATCTTTAACAATATGTTCGTAATCTCTTATAGAAGGGCTTAATGGCTCTTGGGTGAAATACAACAATCTTCACACACTTTCTTCTAAGGAAACTTTTTTGGATAAATTTTTAGCAGATTATTCAGCTGAATCTTGTGAAGACAATGTTTATGAGAAACAGCCTTGTTCCTGACGCTCCATTCGCTCTCAACGGAACCACCATCTCCGAATGCAACAGTTATATATACCTAGGTCGAGAAATCAACATGATGAGTGACCTGGCACCTGAGTTGCGCAGGAGAAAGAGAGCAGCTTCGCATGCCTTCAAGAGCGTTGAAGAAATAACTAAGAGGACAAAGAACCTCCAGCTACGAGCACATCTCTTTGATTCCACTATTCTTCCTGCATTAACATATGCCTCAGAGACCTGGACCCTACGAAAACAGGATGAGAACACTATTCGGGTCTCTCAAAGAGGAATCGAAAGAACTATGCTTGGAATATCACGATTCACTCAAATGAGAGATAGAATCCGGAGTTCTGATCTTCGTCAACGCTCAAGAATCAGGGACGCTGTCTCATTTGCCAAGACATCAAAAATCAGATGGGCTGGACACGTAATGAGGTTTACAGACAACCGCTGGACTAGAGCCATTACTGATTGGATTCCACGAGACATCAAAAGATCACGTGGACGCCCACCTATAAGATGGTCAGACTTCTTCGTCAAGACCCTAAATGATCGGTTTGAGGCTCTACATGTTCCTAAAACGAACAGATACCATTGGGCTACGCTAGCACGCAATCGGGATGAATGGAGACGTTACTGGCACCCGCTCGAATAAATCGATGAATAACGGGGATTAAGTGATTAAGTGATTATTCATAAGCAATACAAAACAAATTACTTCAGTTCTTCTTGGCAGGGTTTGGGGTTCAGGATGGAAACTTTCAAACTATGGTGGTGGGACTGGTGTTCGAATATTAAATGTAATTATTGTGAACGACTATAAAAATTTTAAATAATAAAAAAAAAATTTAAAAAGTGGTAACAGTGTACTGTTTGAACAACAAAAAGTAAAACTTCCAAGGTTCAGAGGTTCAGCTGAGTTTAAAAAAAAAAACAAAAAACAGTGAGGCTGAGGTACTTCAGAGGACAAGAGCACATGATTTGCACAGAGGTGCCCCAGGCTCAATCCCTGGCACGCCACAGGATCCTCCCCAGCAGTGAGCTAAGAATGGCCCCCAAGTACCACTAGGTGTGACCCCAAAACAAACCAGAAACAGTAGTAACATCTACCAGTAGGAGATTCTAATTAAGGCCATTAAAAGCTGACATACAGGGGTAAGAAAGATAGTAAAGTGGGTAGGGCATTTGCCTTGCATGCAATCAACTAGGGTACAATTTCCAGCACCTCATGGTACCTTGAGTCCCATCAGGAATGATCCCTGAGCACAGAGCCAGGAGTAAGTTCTAAGCATCACTGGGTGTGTCCCCAAAACCAAAAAAAAAAAAAAAAAAAAAAAAGTGAAGTACAAGGGCTGAAAAAGAGAATACAGTGGGTAATGTGCTTGCCTTACACAGAATTTGATTCCTGGCACCCCATATGGTCCCCCAACAGCACTAGGAATGATCCCTGAGTTTGAGCCAGAAGTAAATCCTGAGCACTGCAAGGTTTGGGTAAAAAAATATACATATATATGAAGTACAGCCAGGAGTCCAGAGTGTGTGCAGGTAGGGCGCTTACCTTGCATGTGGCCAACCCAGGTTAGATCCCTGGCACCCCTATGGTACCTGAGCCTCATCAGGAGTAATTCCTAAGCAAACAGAAGTAAGTTCTAAGCACAGCAAGGTATGGCCAAAAAAAAACTTTTCAAAAAGTAGACCTAATATATCTAGTATATAGATATAGGATAAGGCTCTTGCCTGGCATGTGGCTGACCCCAGGTCAATCCCTGGCACCATATATGGTCCTTGAGCATTGCCTGGAGTAAGACCTGAGCATCACTCTGTGTGGCCCTCAAACCATACACACAGACACACACACACACACCTGTTAATGTCATAAAAGACAAAGGCTGAGGAACTTTTGCTTCAGATTAATGGAAACTAAAGAGATATGAAAATAAAGTATTATAACCCTGAGTTAGATTCTGTATAAAGAAAAAACAATATGACAAATAATTTTATTATTGGGATAACTGATAAAATAGAGATTAGATTGTATATCACAAGATTATATTTAATATACTTTTAGAAGTTATTAACTATATAATGATTAACATAAATACATCTCTTTTTCTCAGGAAATACATACTGAAGTATTTAAGAGTATGGAAGACGAGCTGGAGATGTGTTTCAGGGAGTATGACTAAGCTTTAACCCTGGGTTCAGTCCCCAGAAATAAAAAAAAATAATACACATAAAAAAAAAAATAATACACATATACACACAAACACAGTTTTCTACAGCAAAGGGAGCAAAATCAATATTCTAACTGGTAATATGGGTAGGAATAGATGAGATTCACTGATTTAGCAACTATTTTGGCAACTTCTACAAACATAAAATATTTTCCCAAAAATAGTTTCAAGTACAAAAAAAAAGGGGGGTATTCGCTAGTGTAGAAAACTAAAGCTGGAGAGAGAGCACAGGTGTTAAGGTGCTTGCGTTGCCTGTGGCTGACCCTAGTAGGATCCCTGTACCATATGTGGTTCTCTGAGCACCACCAGGAGTGACCCCCACATACCATCAGATGTCAGATGTGTGGCCCAAACCCATCCCTCTCCTGAAGAAAGAAACTGGCTAAGACATACTGCAGAGAAAGAAACCATGTAGTAGCAGAATGACTGCCGTGATTTTATAATTTGCAGTGGGGCCAGGGAAGGCAAAAGACTTTGATATGCTTGTGATACTTCCGAACAAACACAAAGGAATTAAGCAATGCTGCTGGTAAGAGGCTTTTCACTTTGTGTACTCTACTCTGATGCCTCTTTCAACCACAAGCACGATGTTTCACAGAAACTGAGAACTTCTGAGAGTGATCTGGTACAGCTTTAGGGCAAGGCAGAGGGAACAGGGAGGTGCAAAGACAGTCAGAAGGCAAGGTCCACTTACCTTAGGCAGGTCCAGGAAAAGGTGCCTGGAGGATTTCACCACAGGGCACGAGCGGCAGATTTTACACTGAGGCTTCTGTGAAGGGAAATTGAAGAGAAGGGGTGACCCATGGTGGAACCATCAGAACCGGGACTGGGCCAGGGAAAGCTGTTCAGATGAGGGAGAGGGGCACAGAGAGATAAACTGTAATTCATAAATGTAGCGTTATTACAGGTATGTATGTATATGTAAATAGGACACACAATGTTCAGTATTATCTGTGGCTTCAGGCATTGAAATACACACTGAAATGGGTAGTTCCAGCCAGAAAGGGGGGCGGGGGGGGCCTCCTGTATCTCCTTGTTTAGTGCTGGTCTCCCGGCTCTGGAGAGTCTATCTTGTTCACTGATGCATCGCTATCAGCCGGAATGAAGACTAGTTTAAGTACATAAAAAACTCTTTGTTGGACTGGGGAGTTGAGTACAGGGGATAAGGCACATGCTTCGTATGTGCTGACCCTGGTTTCATCTCTGGTACCTTAGGGTCCACCCCCATCAGATAATCCCTGAGCACCACCAGGCGTGGCCCCTAGCAGTTCTCTACTGTTGGTTGGGAACAGCAGGATGGAGCCACCACCCAATCTCCTGAACAATGCTTAGGAAGCAACCCCCTACAGTCCGTCCCCCCATCCCCCAAAAAAAATCCTTTGTTGAATGAACCAAATGTGTGTGAAGTAAAAAGAAGAGATGGTATTTACAGAAGAGACTGACCTAAACAAATCAGGAGATCTAAAGCAAGGAAGCATAAAATCAACTTACTGATTTTTTTGGGTGGGGGGCTACACAAGGCAGTACTCAGGGATCATTCCTGGTGGGGCTCAGGAAACGATATGGGGTCCCAGAGATTGGACCCTAGTTGTGTGCGTGCAAGTCAAGCGTCCTACCTGCTGTACTATCACTCTGGCCCCAACTTACCGATTTTTCAGCACAGAGCTAGGACTTAGCAAATACTCATTTGTTAAATGAATTGAATCATGGGTGGAAAGTGCCTGATCTGTCTTAAACGCTGAAGCCAAACTCCTGAATGGACTGAGACTGGGGCCAGAGAGAGAGAGAATAGGGTTGTTAAAGTGCTTGCTTTGCCCATGTTCAACTTCTGGCATCACACATACAGCCCTTTTAGCAAGGCAGGTGCTCAGTACTTTGTGCTCAGAGTAACACATCTATAACTGCCAGGTGTGTCCCCAAACCCAAAAAAGAGCCAAATGCAAGGCAAGGAGATGGTTCAAAGGATTGAGCATATGCTTTGTTTGTGGGAGACCCAGACAAAATACCTGGCACTGCACAGTTTCTCTGAGTGACCCCCAATAAGCCAATTGGCCCAAAAACCAAACTACGTCCATCTCCCCAACTTCCCCCAAAATAGACAGTGTTGTGTGTGGAAACTCAGTGATGAATCACTTGCCTGCATATGTAAGGCCCTGGATTCAATACCCAGCACCACAAGCAATAAAAGAACAGAGACCAGAGATAGTACAGGCAGGGAGTTTGCCTTGCACACAGCCAACCCAGGTTTGATCTCCAGCACCACACACGGTCCCCCCGTTCCACTAGGTGTGCTTCCTGAATGTGGAGCCAAAAGTAAGCCTTGAGTACAGTTGGGGGTGGTCCAAAACCCCCTCCCCCCCAAAAAAGAAAGATGGGGACAGAGAGATTAGTATAAGTAGGGTGTTTGCCTTGCCGGATTCGATCCCTGGCACTTCATATCGTTCCCTGAGCACTGCTAGGACTAACTCCTAAATGCAGAGCTAGGAGTAACCCCTGAAGACTGCCAAGGGAGGCGGGAGGGAGGGAGGGAAAGAGGAGAGTGAGGGCGGGAGAAAGGAAGGAAGGAGTCTCTTCCAGGATTCCACAGACCTTCCTCTCACCTTAAGCTCAATGGCATTGATGAGCTTGCCGCACTTGTCACACTGGTCACCCCGGGCCTCTTCATAGCCACAAAATGGACACACCCCCTCCACGAAGCGGTCAGCCAGGAAGCGGACACAGTGCTCACAGTGCAGCTGCTCCACAGTATCCTGCAGCACAAACCCTCGGGACAACAGCCTCTGGAAGATGTCCTGGGTGATTCTAGTGAGGCGGGCAAGAGAATGGGGAGAGATCATTTTCACTGAAACCCAAGCATGACCAACTTCGTAACTGTGCATCTCATGGTGATGAGAGAGAGACAGAGAGAGAGAGAGAGACAGACAGACAGACAGACAGACCAGTCAGGAAGCTTTGCCTCTCTGCCATCGCCACTTTCCCCAGGCCCAGCCTCATTTGGTATGTGTGCCAGACAGCAGGCAGAGGGCCCCTCAAGGCAACAGCCATCTTTCATCTGAGTTTCACACATGAGCCTAGACCCTCATCCATAGCGCCCACAACTCATTTCTCACTGTGGCACTCATGCGGCACTCATGAGCCAACGAGGACACCTAGCGCTTCTGGGCAGGTGGGACGAGGGATCCCACTCAGGGCCTTCGCCCTCTCGACCCTTTACAATCAAATGATGTTTCCCAGGTGGGGGACATTGTTGACATAAGGGAGGGCACTGGTGATAAGCACATTCCTTTCCCCAGTCACAGGCAAACTGTGAGGGCAGAGAGAGGGAAAAACTTGAGGGACCAGAACCCCCAGGGAGAAATCTGCTCTAGAGTCACAGGGTCACGTTCAACTCAGTCTTCGCTCCCATGAATTCCCCTCAAATCCATAGGATTCCCCTAGAGTTAAAAACACAGGCTCCCTTGCACACTGCCTTGTATTGAGGACAAACATTTGTTTCATAGCCGTCATGAACAAGAATCTCCAAAAGGATAGGATTAGGCTGGCCTTTCTCCTTGTGGCTCCAGGAACTGAACCCAGGCCTCATGCCTCATGAACAAGGCACGCGCATCACCCCTGGGCCTGCCCAGCCCGAGGCCTATCCTTGAATATCTGAAGAACAAAATCCGTACACCTGCTCAACCTCAGAGACTCGAGAGTGGTCTCAGGCACAGTGTCAGGCAGGGTGGAGGAGGGGGGGGAGGGCGGAGGGAACGGGAGGACAGCCAGCGGCAGTAACCGCACCGGGCCAGGAAGGGCCAGTGCAGAGGGAAGGCAGGGCGCCCCCGAAGCCCAAGTCCAGTCTCAGCAGCTCCTGTCGGGGTGTCCACTCACACTGCAGCCCCGGACTCGCGACACACATTTCAGGGCAATTTCGGATCCAAGCAGAGCCGGGGCCTGAGACCGAGGACATCCTCGCGGCCCCCCTCACGGCCCCCAGCCTGGGACAACCCCCTGCCACTCCAGGGTCTGCCTCGCTTGAGAAAACCTACGTCGTCTGATGTGGCGTGGTGGTGCGGCCAAAAATATCAAATGAGATATTAAACCAGCGGTAGATGTCAGCATGGATGGCGTGATACTTGTCACAGATCTCCTTCGGGGTCAGCCCCTCTTCCATAGCCTTGGTCTCTGTCGCTGTACCGTACTCATCTGTCCCACACAGGTAGAGGGTGTTCCACTGTCGGAGGCGTGAGTACCTGGAAGGGAATAGGGTGATCTAGGGATGCGCCCCTCCGTGTCCCCAGGATCCCGCAAGCCTCCACCCTTGAGGTACCCTGGTTCCCAGCCCACGCCTCCCACAGGAGCCGCCTCCCCCAGCAACTGCTTTTACCTGGCAAAAACGTCAGCACTGAGCACACAGCCAATGATGTTTCCCAGGTGGGGGACATTGTTGACATAAGGGAGGGCACTGGTGATAAGCACATTCCTTTCCCCAGTCACAGGCAAACTGTGAGGGCAGAGAGAAAGAGGGAAAAACTTGAGGGACCAGAACCCCCAGGGAGAAATCTGCTCTAGAGTCACAGGGTCACGTTCAACTCAGTCTTCGCTCCCATGAATTCCCCTCAAATCCATAGGATTCCCCTAGAGTTAAAAACACAGGCTCCCTTGCACACTGCCAACCGGGTTTGATTCCCGGCATCCCATATGGTCCCCTGAGCACCGCCAGGGGTAATTCCTGAGTGCAAAGCCAGGAATAACCCCTGTGCACCACTGGGTGTGACCCAAAAAAGCAAAAAGAAAACAGGCTCCTTGTAATACAGTAACCAGAACTCCACGTACTGCTCCTCTAGACCCCCCTCTTCCAACACTCATCTACCACGCTCTTAACTAGAGTCACTGCCTCTGTTCCATGGTCTTTCTTAAGTGCCAACTTCCCAGGCACTAGCAAAAAAGAAAAAGAAAACAGAAAAACTCCTAGGCCCTATCCAGTCGCCATCACTTCCCACTCTCTGGACCCCGATGCCACTCGAGAACTCTCCCACCTTCTCCCAGGAGCTGTAGGCAGGATCTGATCACAAGTTAGAGCTTGCCAGCTCAAGACCATGTGTACAACCTGGCCCTTCTCTCCCTAAACCATGCCTGCCATTTCCTCAAAGCTAACTCAGGGGCCAGAGAGAAGAGTACAGTGGGTAGAGGATCTGCCCGGCATGCGGCCGGCTCAGGTTCAATGCCCAGCACCACCTATGGTTCCCTGAGTCCCTCCAGGAGTCAGCCCGAAGCACCGCAGGGTGCAGCCAAAACGAATAAAAACAGTCTAACTCAAACCAACAAGCACAGTTACCACCTTCACACAGCCTCTCTCCTCTCTGCTCCAGGCTCTCTCCTAGCCTCCCGGCTCAATTTGTTATCATTTGTTCTGCTTTCGGGGGTAAGACCCGGCTATGCTCAGGTGTTACTCCTGCTCTGCACTCACGAATCACTCCTGGCAGTGCTTGAGGGGCCCATATGGGATGCCAGGATCAAATCTGAGTCGACTGCAAGGCAAGCTCCCGTCTCCCACCCTATAGCTCCGACCTCTCAATCTGCTCTCTGAGGTCACTCAATGCCCACTGTCCTTTCCCGCCCAGCCGAGCATACTGGCCACCCCCGACCCACTGCGCCGACAGCTAAGTATGCCTTTCAGCTTTTCAACCACTTGCAACCTACAATTACGGCTCCCCATCATTTGTCACGCCCTTCTGTCCTGGGTACAATGGGAGCTCACTATGATCGTCATAGTTTCTATCAAAAAACACTCAGATGATTCCCTCACACTAAGACCATCACTTTAGGGTGAAATGTCCCTTCCTCCACACAGGTATTTAAACATGTTGGTCTCTACAGACACCCAAAAAGTCTTCCTCCTATTTGTCATTATTTCCAAAGTGCCTCCTAAACCGAATCTATGGAAGGAACTCAAGAAAAACTCCAAATAAGCAAATAAACAAAAGACTGGCCCTAATTTGTTCAAATATTATTAATATCTAGAAAATATTTGACGCTAGATGCTAGCAACTGGCTGAGATTAGGGCCAGCCTCTGCTTCAATTGACACACAAATTAGTGAGCAGACAGACATAGAAGAGACAATTACAACGTTAGGTGGTGATGAGAGCTTCCGGAGGACAAAGCCCTTCAGCCTCATGCGAGCTCTGGAGAAAGGCATGATAGAACTAGTCTCGGAATGACAAGCACACAGGCAGGGGGATGCCCGCATTCCAAGAAACGTGCAAAACCATCCAAGTATGCGAGAATCACAGCTCAGCGTGCCTCCCTCTAGAGCTCAGTTGGACCCATCAGCTTTTGGAATGTCTAGTATCCAGCCACTGGCCTTTTAGCAATCCCTGAGCACTGAGCACTGTGGTCAAAACCATCCCTGCCCCTCTGCTTCCCATCCCCCACTGCCCCAAAGCCCCACCCCACCCCCACCCCCACCCCCACCCCCACCCCCAGTCTCTTTGCCTCACAGAACTCAGTCTAGTAAGCTTGACAGGTACTTTATTTGATTGATTTTTTTTTGGGGGGGGGGTTGGGCCACACCCAGTGATACTCCAGTTACTCCTGGCTCTGCACTCAGGAATTACTTCTGTTAGGCTTGGGAGACCATATGAGATGCTGGGGATAGAAACCGGTTGGCCGTGTGCAAGGCAAATGCCCGACCCACTGTACTATCACCCTGGCCCCTCGACGGGTTTTTTTTTTTTTTTTTTTTGCTTTTTGGGTCACACCTGGCGATGCACAGGGTTACTCCTGGCTCTGCACTCAAGAATTACCCCTGGCAGTGCTCAGGGGACCATATGGGATGCTGGGAATCGAACCCGGGTTGGCCGCGTGCAAGGCAAACGCCCTACCTGCTGTGCTATTGCTCCAGCCCCTCGACAGGTATTTTAAATTCTACGAAAGCCAAGAACAGGATGGTATGTGAAATACCAGGAAATTAACTTAGAGGCCTCTCTGAAAAAGTAGCTCGGTAGAGGCGCAGGGTGTCTGTGTCTGCTTCCCCGTCCCTCCCTCCTTCTATGCTGTTCTCAGAGAGTTTAATTTAAAAATAATGAAAGAAGCCAGGAAGATGATGCAAAGGGCTGTAGCACACTTTCCACACAGAACAGAAGGCCGGAGGGGGTGGGGGCATCTCTCTCTCTCTCTCTTTTTTTTGTTTAGCTTTTGGGCCACATTCAGCAATGCTCAAGGGTCACTCCTGGCTCTGTGCTCAGGAATCACTCCCAGTGGTGCTCAGGAGACAATATGGGATGCCAAGGATCGAACCCAGGTCAGTTGCATACAAGGTAAATGCCCTCCCCGCTGTGCTATCGCTCCAGCCCCTGGGTTCAACCTCCAGCACTGCTTAGCCATCCAGGAATACTGCCGGGAGCATCCCCAAGCACTGTGACAGAAGCAGCCGTGGAGAACCAGCAGGTGCCCCACACCCCAAAAGAAATTAATGACATTTGGAAAAAAAAAAAAAAAGGAAGCCGAGAGTACAGCCTGACCCTAAGTACTGCCTGGTGTGGCTCCTATAAAAATTAATCAGTGACACTAAAATAAAGACATTCTTGGGTGTGACAGACCGGGGTGAAGGCCTGGCACCTGGGCAACAGACCTCTGAGTACAGAGTCAAGAGTAAGCTCTGAGCATAGCTGGTGTGGCCTCAACACAACCATCCCGCTAGAAAGAAAAACATACCAAGGATATAACAAACAGCCCATGGTGGTATTTGGTCTACAGAAAGGACTTTGCCAAGGGGCTGGGGCAGGTGATGTCAGGACCACCATGGAGGGCCCGCTCAGGATGGGAGATGTGTGCTGAAAGTAGACTATGAACCGAACATGATGGCCGATGGCCACTTAGTACCCATATTGCAAACCATAACACCCAAAAGGAGAGAGAGTAAAAGGGAATGTGCCTGCCACAGAGGCGGGGGGGGGAGGTTGGCAGGAGAGATGCTAGGAGCACTGGTGGTGGAGACTGGGCACTGGTGGAGGGATGGGTACTCAATCATTGTATGACCGAAACGTAATCGCGAAAGTTTGTAAGTCTGTAACTGTATCTCATGGTGATTCATTAAAAAAAATAAATAAAGGGGCTGGAGCAATAGCACAGCAGGTAGGGCGTTTGCCTTGCACGCGGCCAACCTGGGTTTGATTCCCAGCATCCTGTATGGTCCCCGAGCACCGCCAGGAGTAATTCCTGAGTGCATGAGCCAGGAGTAACCCTGTGCAATGCCAGGTGTGACCCAAAAAGAAAAATGAATAAATAAATAATTCACGGTCATGGTCCTCCCGTTGTTCATCGATTTGCTCGAGCGGGCCTAGTAACATTGTGAGACTTGTTACTGTGTTTGGCATATCGAATACATCATGGGGAGCTTGCCAGGCTTTACCATGCGGGCGAGATACTCTCGGCAGCCTGCTGGGCTCTCCGAGAGGGGCAGAGGAATCGAACTCGGGTCAGCTGGCTGTTGGCTGAGTGTAAGGCAAACACCCTACTCGCTGTGCTAACCGCTCCAGCCCCAAATAAATAAATAAATAAAAATAAGAGACTGGAGCTCAAAAGACTGGAGCTGAGGATCTGCACACAAGAATCCTGGGCTTCATCCCCAGCACCATATGGTCCCCTGAGCATTACCAGGAAGTGACCCCCCAGCAGAGCAGGAACTGCCTCCACGTTACGCTGGGTGTAACCCAAAAACAAAAAGTTTAAGAGAGAGAAAGAGAGAGAGAGTGAGTGAAAATGGAGACGGGCCCAACAACGGAGCCCTGGTGCAGGTATCATTCCTGCAGCTTCTGCTCAGGAGCTGAGTCGGGGCGGGGCTTCTGCAGTCTCGGCACCCCCCCCCCCATGTGGATGAGGCCCTGAGCTCCGTGGCCTGGGCCGTCCCACACCGGACTGCAACTCCCCCACAGCAACCTGCCCCAGGCACACCACACCCGAGTGTGATTCCCCGAAACAGCAACAAAAGAGGAAAAAAAGAGGAAGAGGAAAATCCAACACCAGAAAAAAAACCCTAAACCCCAAGCCCTGTCATCTGAGCCTACTCACACTGGCTTCTGCTGCGGCCGGACGGCGGGCAAGCTTGCCAGTCCCTTGTCCCAGGCAGCTGCGGCCGCGGCTATCTCCTCCTCAGACAGCGTGGCGAGCTCCTCCTCCTAGGAGAGGGGACGCGGCGCTTCACCGGGCGAAGAGTCCACAGAGCACAGAAGCCCCCTCCATGTTGTCCCAGGAGAGTCGGCGGCCCCGCTCCCACCCCTCCCACCCCCCACCCTCAGGCACGGAGGTTCTGTCGGGTCCCTGCAGACCTCAGGCTCATTGCTGACAGTGCTCCCCTCCAGAGAGCTGGGCTGGGGCTGCTTTTGGAGGTAGGGGCGGAGCGCCAGGGCCCCCTGCTGCTTCAGCACTGTCTCCACAGCTCGCTGACAGGGCTCCTGCGAACTCAAGGTCTGGAACCAAGTGTGCAGGGCACCCAGCTCCTCTGCCGGGGAGAGAGAGAGAGAACAGGGAGAAAAATCAAGCCAGGAAGAGCCGACAGCAGTGACTGTCCTCGTCTTCATGCTTCCCCCAGCATCTCCTTCTCCTCCGCTGTACCTCCAGAGCACCCCGCTATTTGACTGCCCGGGCTCTCATCTCCAGGCCAAGGGGCTGCGAATGAAGTGATAAGCAGAATTCTTACCAGGAAGGTATGCTGGGTCTTGGAGTAATGGGTAGAGAGCTCCCCACAAAACGATGTCAGCTAGAGATTCTGTCTCCTTTATTGGGGAAAGAAAAGTCAGTCCACAGCTGAAGCATTCCATTTCTGTCCAACATAAATAACACATCTATTACCCCTTAACACGGACTGTGTCACATACCACATTACACATCCTACTTCTCTCAATCCAGGCCTGGAGAGGCATTTGCCCTGCATGAGGTCTACCCAAGTTTGGTCCCCAGCACCCCTTATGGTCCCCCGATCCTACCAGGAGTGATCCCTGGATGCAGAGTCAGGAGTAAGCCCTGCAGTGATCCCTGAGCCTCACATAAGTAAGGCAAGTGCTCTACCACTAAGCCACAAGCCTGGCCAGTCTTTTTTTTTCCTCCTTATTTTGAGGGCCACACCCGGCAATGCTCCGGGGCTACTCCTGGCTCTGCATCCAAGAATGACTCCTGGCAGGTTCATGGGACCATCTGGAATGCCTGGGATTGAACGAACCTGGGTCAGTGCACACAAGATAAGCACCTTATCCACTGCACCATGGCTTTTTTGGGTCACACCTGGTGATGTACAGGGGTTAATCCTGGCTCTGCACTCAGGAGTTACTCCTGGCGGTGCTCAGGGGACAATATGGGATGCTGGGAATTGAACCCGGGTCGCTGCATGCAAGGCAAACGCCCTACCCGCTGTGCTAACTCTCCAGCCCCCTGTACTATGGCTTTAACTCGTGTAACGTACACCCTTCCCTGAACCCCTTCTCAAGGCCCAACTCACGCCAGCCAGGAAAGGACAGTTCCGCCGACTCAGGCTATGGTCAATGTGAGTCAGGGCTCTCCGCACCGGGTTCAGAACATCTTCTCCCTTCTTGCCTTGGACCACTAAATAGTAGAGGGCAGCAGATAAAGCTGGCTAAAATGCAAGGGTCACAGATCAGGATGATCAGGCAGAGCAAGGGCCTAACTGCCCTCCCCAAGCCTCAGTCTACCTGCAATTCTGTTGCTTCCCATTCCAGCCACTGGTTGGTGAGGTCATCTTGCTCCCAGCCAGATAAGAGAAAGAAGTATCTGCCCAGGGAGAGAACAATAGAAGGTGAAATAAGAGGCCTGTTTGGGTCAGAGAAATAATACAGAGGTAAAGTGCTTGCCTTGCATGCAGACAGCCTTGGTTGAATGGCCACCGCCCCACGTAGTCCCCAGAGCAAGCCAGGAATAAGCCCTGAGCTCCACAGGTGGGGGGGGGGGGGGAGGGAGGGAAGAAAAGAAGAAAAACAGGGAGAGGCCCACTTGTCTATCAATCAGAGGACACTGGCTGAGAATAAGACCTCAGATAAGTCCTGATTAAATTCAAACCACCACCTCACCCCAAGACCAGTACTGACCGACAAATCGCACTGGTTGAGAAGAGGTAATTGCCATTATCCAACTGCAACGCAGGAATCTTAGGCCGGGACAAGAAGGGGACCACACACTCTACAAAAGAAGAGAAGATTTGTGAAAACAAGGAAAAGAGAAACTATCGACTTAGGACAAGTTGACATTGTCCAGGGGGTCAAGAGAGAAGAAAGAGGTGGGTCTCAACCCAGAGGGTCTGGGATTGGAGCGTGGCAAGGCAAGGGGGTGGGGTCCAGCACAAGCTGGCGAGACCAGCAGGTGTTTAGCCGAGGCCAGCTGGAAACAACAGATGGGCACTGCAGAGGAGGTGGCGGGGCTGGGGCCGAGCTGCAGCCAAGAACGGGAACAATTGGAAGTAAAGAGGATATCTGAGAACGATCTGAGATCGCAGTGGGAGAAATGAGGATTGACCGGAGACCGGCGTTCGGAGTCACCCAAATGGTGTGCTGGAAATGGTAAGCGGCAAAGGGGAATTTGGGGGTATTGCTGTCTCCGTGTGTTTCGAGAGGGAGGGAGGTAGACTCTCCTTCGAGCGACACAGGAGCTCGGGAGTAGTCGCGCGAGCGTGGGTCGAGGGCCCGGGGGGCTCCCGGTGGGTGCGGGAGGCTGCAAGGAGACGGTCTCTCGGGTGAAGTGGACTGCCGAGATTTGACGATCGGAGGCGAGAGACGGGAATACACTGGGGAGTGAGTGATGACATGGAACTAGCCATAGAGAGGGACCGAGGGGATGATTCTGGAGGCGGATGAGGAGTGAATGAGGTGGGGGTGGGTGAAGACAACTGCAGACCCGGCGGGCTTGGGTCCCGACACCCCTCTTGCACCGCCCACCAGCACCAGCCCGACTACCTTCCAGGCCTACGGTGCTGATGAGCAGCTCCGCTCTGCCCTGGGCCCTGCCGGCTGCAACTAGAACAGGCAGGGTTCCCGGGGCGCCCTCGCTCACGAACAGTCTCATTTCGCCGAGGATCCCACGCCGCTGATGCAACCGGAACCGATCTCCAGCCGGTGGGGTGGGTGGCCGCCGCAAGGCACGCCGGGAAATGGAGTTCGGAAGGGGCCAGTCCCTTGCGCCGCTCCGGGAGCGGGGACTACGACTCCCAGCGTGCCACACTAAGAAACCGGAAATGACTACCATAGAGACAGAGAGGCCGCGGGCGCAGTGCTAGAACGGCACTACATTTGGTAAAAGGGTAGATAGGGCGTTGACTCTTTTGGAGTCCCACGCTTTTATGCTCTAATGCAGCCACACCTACCTTTCCTCAGATGCTTAACCGGCGATATCGTCACAGGAGCTAGTAGCAATAGCCAGCTCTTCTTTTGGGTTTAATTTGAGCTTTGGATTTGGGGCCACACCCGCGATGCTTCTGACCGCGCTCGGGGATCACTCCTGGCCGGCGCCAGGGACCGAATGAGTTCTCGGGGGACTGAACCTGGGTCAGCCATGTGCAAGGCAAGCGTCGTAGCTGTGGGGCTGTATTATCGCTCCGGCCTCTTTCTCTTGAGCTCTTAAGAATCATAGCTCCAGGTCCCAAAGAGAGCCGAGATCAGCGGGAAGTCCCAGATGGGGTAGGTGCCGCATGCCGCCTCCCCCAGATGGAACCCCGGTGACCGTGAGCCTCTACAAGCACAGCTCGGGCATGCGGGACAGGACTTTCACGCCAAACCGTGCGGTCGCCTAACTCCTTATATATAAAGTGATCAACGGAAAGTAAATTATCCAACGGTTCTCCCTGAAAATCAGGCTTAGCTCTTTTACAAACCACAACACCCAATAGGAAAGAGAGAACAAAAGGTAATGCCCTGCCACAGAGGCAGGGGGGGATGGGGGGGTGGGAGGGTGACTGGGATCCGTCGTGGTGGGCAATGGTTACTAGTGGAGGGATGGGTATTCAAAATAAATAAATAAATTGGGGAAAAAAAAGAATCATAGATCTGGGACTGGAGCAATAGCACAGCAGGTAGGGCCTTGCACGACGCCAACCCGGGTTCGATTCCCAGCATCCCATATGGTCCCCCGAGCACTGTCAGGAGTAATTCCTGAGTGCAGAGCCAGGAGTAACAAACAGCCCATGGTATTTGGTCTACAGAAAGGACTTTGCCAAGGGGCTGGAGCTGGTGGTGTCGGGTGTATGCACAGAACTCTTAAGTAGTGTAAATCATGATGCCTGAAACCACATTAGAAGGGAGGGAAATGCCAAGGAGAGTAATTCCTGACTGCAGAGCCAGGGGTAACCCCTGTTTATCGCCAGGTGTGACCCAAAAAGCAAAAATTAAATAAAGTTAGTGTTTGGGAGCTTAAAAAATATCATAGATTCGGTGTGTGTGTATGTGTGTTTTTAATACTATTTTTCTATTTTCATTTTGGGTTTGTTTTGTTGGGGGCCACACCTGTGACTCTCAGAATTTACTCCAGGTTCTGCGCTCAGGAATCACCCCTGGCAGTGTTTGAGGGACCACATGAGATGCCAGAGATTGAACCCAGGTGGACTGTGTGCAGCACAAGCACTTTACCCGCTGTACTATATATCTGGCCCCAAGAATCATAGTTTTGGATCTGGGACAACCCTGTCACAGAGCATTTATTTGCTTTGCAATTCTGAGGCCCTGGTTCTATTCCAGCAGCTCAAGGTACCCCCACCCAGCACCACTTGTACTATAGCATTGCCTACCCAAGCACAGAGCTGGGACTATTTCCCCCACCACACCTTCTCACTGCTGGTGTCATTCACAAGAAATCGTGCCTTTATGGGGGCCAGAGCGATAGCACAGTGGGTAGGGTGCTTGCCTTGTACATGGCTCACCTGGATTCAATCCCTGGCATCCCATATGGTCCCCTGCGCCCTGCCAATATGCCAGTAGTAATTCCTGAATGAAGAGCCAGGAGGAGCATCTCCTGAGCATCAATGGGTATGGCCCGGAAGCACACGAAAAGTAATCATGAGTTTATGAACTGGAAGTTACCATATAGTTTTTAGTACCGCAACAGAAATTAGTGTAGAGGAGCTAGAAAGATAGCACAGAGGCTAGGGTAGGGGGCTTGCCTTGCATGTGACCACCCAGTTTGATCCCAGACAGAACGGGATGGTCCCTCAAGCACTACCAGGAGTGACCCCTGATCAAAGTGCCAGGCATAAGCCCTAAGCACAGCCAGATATATTCCTCCCAATCCCGTGCTCTCCAAAGGAGAATATGAAAAATACTGATTTAATACCAAGGTTTTTTTGCAGCTGATAACACTGGGGGAAAGGGAGCATGTCCCAGGAAAGGTGAGGTTGAGAGGAAGTAAGAAATCAATGAGTGTGGCAATAAATGTGTTTTGTACAAGAAAGCACAATCAGGGCCAGAGTGATAATCAGCAGGTAGGGCACTTGCCTTGCATCCAGCTAACCCAGGTTCTATCCCCAGCATCCCACATGGTCCTCTGCCAGGAGTAATTCCTGACTGCAGAGCCAGGAGTAACCCCTGAGCACTGCTGGGAGTGGCAAAAAAAAAAAGGTGGGGGAAGGAAGGGGAAAAAAGAAAGGGACGGAAGGAAAGAATTGGAAAGCACAATCAATAACATTCTGAGACAAGTCAAAGGGCAAGAGCACCTGCTTTGCATGAGCACTTAGAGAAGCAGCCAGCTCTTCTGCCTGCTGAATATCGCCAGGAAATGCCACGTGGGTCTTAAAAATTACAAACGGGGGGCTGGAGCGATAGCACAGCGGGTAAGGCGTTTGCCTTGCACGCAGCCGACCTAGGTTCGATTCCCAGCATCCCATATGGTCCCCCGAGCACCGCCAGGAGTAATTCCCGAGTGCATGAACCAGGAGTAACTCCTGTGCATCGCCGGGTGTGACCCAAAAAGCAAAAAAAAAAAAAAATTACAAATGGGCTGGAGCGATAGCACAGCATGTAGGGCAGTTGCCTTGCACACAGCCAACTCGGGTTTGATCCCCAGCATCCCATATGGTCCCGAGTACCGCCAGGAGTGATTCCTGAGTGCAGCGCCAGGAATAACCCCTGAGCATTGCCGGGTGTGACCCAAAAAGCAAAAAAATAATAATAATCAAATAAAAATTTTAAAAAATTACAAACAGAGCTCTATCCAAATTCCTGTTTTCAGTTTCATTTTATTTGGGGGGCTGGAGGTGGGGAGTTACCTAGTGACCCCGGAGACTGCAAAACTGTTCCGTGTAGAACACGTGACACCACGTGGTGCACTCCAGGCATGTGCCACAGACCTCTGAGCTATCTCCCCGGATCTTGCCCCATAAACTTGGAAGCTGTAACAAAATGGCTGTTTTTTTTCAAATGCAAACGATAGATAACTTCTCTCATACTCATAGATGAGGAAACAAGCACAGAGGTCACAGTGACAAGAAATAAGGCATTGAACAATTGTCAGTGAAATAAATGTAGGCTTTTGACTTGGCAGAACTTACACACTTCAACAAACATGCACTATAGCACTGTCCTCCCGGTACCAGTAACATTTCCATTGTGAGAGTTGTTGTTACTGTTTTTGGCATATCGAATACGCCACAGGGAGCTCGCCAGGCTCTGCCGTGAGGGCGGGATACTCTCCGTAGCTTGCCGGGCTCTCCGAGAGGGGCGGAGGAATCGAATCCAGGTTGGCTGTATGCAAGGTAAACGCCCTACCCTCTGTGCTATCACTCCAGCCCCAACAAACATAAAAAATCAAATAATCTTTTTGATTTTATTTGGGGCCACACCTGGAAGTACTCTGAGGCTACTCCAAGCTCAGTGCTCAGGGTCACTCCCATCGGTGCTCAGAGGAACCATACAGTGCCAAGGAACCAAACCTAGGGCTCCCACCTGCAAATTCTGTACTTCAGTCTGTTGAGCTGTCTCCCCAGTCCTCAAATAATCTTTGAAACATGAAAGTTATGGTGGGAGGCCAGAGGCAAGTTCAGTGTCCAAGATTACACGTCTTGCAAGTACATACTTGGTCTTGAGTTCAAGTATCTGGTATCTCACATACACTAAATTTGAACCAGGCAGCTCTGATGTCTATGATACACCACACCACACCACAGCCAGACATGTGTGTGCATCACACCAAGGGATGCAACCCACTTAAACACCGCAACTTAAAAAGATATGCAAGTGCCACAGCCAGAAAGGGCAAACTCTGGTGAATGCAAATGGGTCCTAATTCCCAGAAACCCACAGAAAGTTTTACATCTGCCACCACTGACTTGCCCTTTTTGTTGTAACTCCTACCTCCCGCCCCCTTCCCTTCTTTGTTGTTGCTATGAGCTGCGGTTACCCAGCACCTAGCTGTCACATACTCCTTTAGTTGCAATGTTTGCCCATGTATGCACTGGTCTCACAGTCTCAGTTGAGGTCTAGGAGTTGTGATGCTCCCCCAAGAGGTTGCTGCAGTGTCTTGGCTGCAGCAACAACAAAGAAGGGAGGAAAAGGGGCTGAGGGCATCCAAAAAGTGAAAGTGATGGCGGGGGATGGTGGGGCTTGCTGTGGAAGTCCAGTTTGAGAATTAGGAACTCCCAGCCCCTAGCTTCTGGGAATTATGACCCCTATGTGCTCATCAAAGTTTGCACTTCGGGCTATAGCACTCGCACGTATCTTTTTAGTTGCCATGTTTGAGAGGGGGCTTGCACCCCTTTTTGTAGTGCATACACACAACTGGCCATGGTGCTAATTTGGAGCTCCAGCTTCCTATCTTCTGGGAATTACTGAATATCCCTCAGACCTATCCAACTCCAAGCGGTTAAGAGAGGCCTTCTTAAGGCGGGGGATGGGTTTTAAATGGTGGAACATGTTTGTTCTATCTTGGGTTTGATCTCTGGCATCACAGCCCCACTCATCTTGATGGGCATGGACCTGGTGAGACACCCCTGAGATGTCCCCCCACAAAATGTGAGAGGTAGGTCAGAAGATAGGATGCTTGCCTTGCATGGGTCACACCTAGGTTTGTTCCCTGGCCTGGCATCCCAAATGGTCCTCCAAGCCTCACCAGGAATAATTCCAGAGTGTAGAGTCACCCCTGAACATTGCTGGGTGTGGCCTCCCCCACAAAAAATCCTATAGCTATCATCCTTTTTAGCCAGGGTAACCATGTGCCCTACTTGCTGTATTATCAATCCTGCCCAGGTAGTTGTAGATCTTAAATAGGTAGATTAGGCTTGGAGAGTTAGTACAACAGGTAGGACATTTGCCTTGCAGATGGCCCTGAGCAGGAGTAGCCCCCAAATGAAACCAGAAAATAAGTTGGTGGCTTAGTGATTAACACACTGTATTTTTTTGGGGGGGTCACACCTGGCGATGCACAGGGGTTACTCCTGGCTCTGCACTCAGGAGTTACTCCTGGCGGTGCTCAGGGGACCATATGGGATGCTGGGAATCGAACCCGGGTCACCCGCGTGCAAGGCAAACGCCCTACCCGCTGTGCTATCTCTCCAGCCCCAACACACTGTATTTTTTTTTTTTTTGCTTTTTGGGTCACACCCAGCGATGCTTAGGGGTTACTCCTGGCTCATGCACTCAGGAATTGCTCCTGGCGGTGCTCAGGGGACCATATGGGGTTCTGGGAATCGAACCTGTGTCGGTCATGTTGACTGCATGCAAGGCAAACGCCCTACCCGCTGTGCTATCACTCCAGCCCCAACACACTGTATTTTTAAGAAATTTTTATTAGTGAAACACCATGAGGTACAGGTTGTAGACTTACAAATTTTTGTGCTTGGGTTTCAGTTATATTTTAAATGCTTTGGGAGGGCAGAGCAGTATATTTCTTCTTTCGGATTTTGTACTGTATGCAGCCATACTCAAGGCTTAATCCTGGCTCTGTGCTCAGGGACCATTTCCGGTGATGCTTAAGGAACCACATGTGGTCCCAAGATCGTAGTGTGCAAAACAAGCACCTCAGCCCCTGTACCATATCTCCGACCCCCATTTTTGCTATCTAAACTGGCAATCCTATCCTACAGTTTCTGCCTGCCATATATATGTATCTCCGACACAACAATAAACATTTATTGAATCAAAACTTATTTACTTAATTTTATTTGGGGGCTACACCTGGCAGTGTTCAGGTGTGGTGCTCAGGGTGATTCCTGGTAGTACTCAAGGGACCATGCAGTGACAAGGATTGAACCCAGACCCCCCAAATGCAAAACATGTGCATTAGACTTTTGAACTATTTTGTGGGCTCTTGATTCAATATTTCACGAAATAGTGGTCTGGGAGAGAAGCTGACTTGTGAGAGAAGTTAACAAGTTTAGTTGATAACAGACTGTGCTTGTGGTACCCTTGAAAACCCCATGTGGAGTTCTTCAGTGAACAGTGGGCTAGACTGGCGCTCCAGAGAAAGCTGTGGAATGGAGAGATGGTACAGCAGTAGATGGAAGTGGGAGAGAAAAAGACCAGGTAGAGTACATTGAGTGCAAGAGACACAGCTTCTCAGACTGACCTCTGAGTTCTAAGGAACAGAGAGTCAGGTCCTTCCATGCACAACCGAGAAGAAACTGCTAGAAAGTTAAGAAGGATACCAGTCATCTTGTTCAAGAGAAAAGTCCATTGTGTAGATTGCTTCTGAGGTACAAACAAAATAAGAACTGCAGGGCCAGAGAGACTGAGTTTTGGTGCTCACCTTGCATGCAGCTGACTCTGGTTCATTCCCCTGCATTATAGATGTCCCTTAGAGAACTGCTAGAGTGAAGTGATTCCTAAACGCAGAGCCAGGAGTAAGTCCTAAGCACTGCCAGGTCTGACCAATCCTCATTCTTAAATAAATACATAAATAAATAAATAAATAAATAAAGCCAGGGCCAAGGGGCTTTGCAGGCACCCTACCAACCCACGTTCAATCCCCAACATCCCATGTGGTCCCCTGAGCACTGACAGGAGTAGTTAAGTCCTGAGTGCAGAGTCAAGAGTAACCCCAGGGGGCTGGAGTGGTAGCACAGTGGGTAGGGCATTTGCCTTGCACGCGGCCAACCCGGGTTCGATTCCCAGCATCCCATATGGTCCCCCGGGCACCACCAGGGGTAATTCCTGAGTGCATGAGCCAGGAGTAACCCCTGTACATTGCCGGGTGTGACCCAAAAAGCGCAAAAAAAAAAAAAGTGAGCAAATGGGGGCCATAGTGATAGTGCAGTTGCTAGGGCTTCTGCCTTGCATGTAGCTGACCCAGGTTTGTTGCCTGGCATTCCATATGGTCTCCTGAGCCCTGCCAGGTGTCCCTGAGAGCAAGTCAGGAGTAAGCCAGGTGTGGCCCCCAAAAGAAGCAAACAAGGGGCTGGAGCAATAGCACAGCAGGTAGGGCTTTTGCCTTGCATGCGGCCGACCCTGGGTTCGATTCCCAGCATCCCATATGGTACCTCGAGCACCACCAGGAATAATTCCTGAGTGCAGAGCCAGGAGTAACCCCTGAGCATCGCCAGGTGTGACCCAAAAAGCAAAAAAAAAAAAAAAGTGGAGCAAATGAACGTCAGTGAAGTTGAATCTCAGTACTGGCAACCCGGCCCTCAGGTCACATGCTGGGGAGGAGAGCTGACTCTCTGAGGTCACGAAGGGGCGGGCACTCCTTTCCCCACCTCTCCAGCCTGGACAGAAACGCGAGGAGCAGTGGCGAAAGAGAGAGAACAGAAGAAAGGGGAGTGGTCAGGTAAGGAAGAAACACAAGTGTGGGCTTTAAAACTCTGGCGATAGAGAGGGTCACTTCCCACTTTTCAGTGGAGAACAGCTGCCATGCATCTCCGTGCTCATAAGCATCATCGCATACTGTACTGCTTCTTCATAGCTCAGTTCTAGCTTCATGACTCAGTTCTAGCTCATGAGTGCAGAGTCATTCATTTAAGAGCTGTTCTTATAAGCAAGAGCTTGGCTCTGGGCTTTCTCCTGCCTCCAGTACCTAACTCAGATCCTTCCACTGGGAGGAAGTTGCTTAGTCAAGTGTAAATGAATGAAGCCACAGTACAGAAGGGCCCCTCCTCGGAGACTTATAGACAGGGTTTTATCAAGGCTTCTCAGTTCCCCATAACACATCCTTTTGGAGGAGGTGGAGGAGGAAAGTTTCACCTCTTCCTCTAACTCTGAACCCCTCTTTCTGCCAGCCACTTTTGTTCTCTTCAACTTGGTCTGTTTTCCTGGCTCTTAGTCTATGTCTGAGCACACAGGAAGCATAAAGCTTCGGGGCTGAGGTCATCGGTAACGGAAACATTGCTAGTATGTAAATTTCATACTGGGGCACAGACTTTATTTTATTTGTATGCTGGGGGAGTTTGGGCCACTCTTAGGGGGAGGCGACTCCCAACTCAGGCAGGCATTCCAGGCCGTGCTTGAGCTGGGCCTCTGGCATGCCAAGCATGCACTCAGCCTCCTGAGCTACCTCTCCAGAGCCACACGCTTTATATAATCTTTTGAGGAGGGCAGTTTTGAATTTGGAGATTACACCTGGAAGTTTTCGGGGGCTATTCCAGGTGCTGTGCTCAAGGATCACTCTCGGTGATGCTTAGGGGACCTTATGTGGTGCCAGGGGTTGAACTGGGATCAATTGAATACATGGCAAGTGCCTTAACTCCTGTACTGTCACTCTGGCTCCTATTTTAATCTTTATTTTTGCGGGGGAGGGGAGATTGTGCCACACCCAGCAGCACTCAGGGCTTACCCTGGCAGTTTTGAGGTACCAAATGGGATGTCAGGGATGGAACCCGGGTCAGTCACGTGCAAAGCAAACACCCTACCCTCTGTACTACAGCTATGGCCCCTCCTATTTTCATTGTTATCATTAACTCTTGCCTCCTTGCCTGTTCTCTCAGACATGATTCTTTTTTCTCATTTACCTGTATCCAGCTCAAAAGTCTCCCCACCACCCAAAACTGGCATCACCAGCCCATCTTCTGATGGGCTCCAGAAAACAAAGAGGAATTTTTTTACTATGGGGGGGCCATATCCTCTGATTTCCTGCCTTGCTGGTCTCACAGCCTTACTGACCACATCCTCTCTCGCCTTACTTAAATACTTCCTCAGCACACACGTCATCCAGGAGTTCTCAGCCCCCAAGACATGTCACTGACCCCCACCCACGCCCTCTGTTCTCACCCTGGGTTTCTTTCCTCCCTCCGGACCCGGCTCTGAAGCCCCAGCCACACTGTCTGGGAATGCTCAGCTCTGTCCTTTTCTGGCCCTCCAACACACTCTTCTCCCGCAGGTGACTGTGCCCACCACGATGCTCTCAGGCAGGTGGTGGCCAAGTACCTGGGGGAGCCTCGGGCTGGGGCCCAGCAGCCCTTCTCGAGGATCCCGGCTCTGCGCCCTCTATGGCTTTACCTACACTGGGGCAGATGGCCGGCAGGTGTCCCTGGCTGAAGGGGACAGATTCCTCCTGCTGCGAAAGACCAACTCAGACTGGTGGTTGGCAAGGCGCCTGGGAGCCCCCGCGACATCGCGGCCCATCTTTGTCCCTGCTGCCTACATGACGGAGGAATCCACCCCTTCCCACAACGCCTCCAGCCAGTCTCTCTGGATCCCAGGTAAGTGTGCCTTCCTTCATCACCTTCTCACTTCCTGAGCTTCTGGGGGTCAGGGAAAGGGCTTCTCTCCCCCAAGCATCGGCTGGCCCCTGCTTTCCTTTTCTGCTCACCAGCCAACTCCCACTCCCCACTGTGGTGTCTTTGTTGCCTTTCGTTCTAGTCTCAAGCCCTCTCCGCCTCACTCCATTTTTCTTTTTTTTTTTTTTTTTTTTTTTTTTTGCTTTTTGAGTCACACTGCGACGCACAGGGGTTGCTCCTGGCTTTACACTCAGGAATCACTCCTGGTGGTGCTTGGGGAACTGGGGAACCATATGGGATGCTGGGAATTGTAACCAGTTTGGCTGTGTGCAAGGCAAAAGCCCTACTCACTGCTCCAGCCCCATCATTGTTTTCTCCCCCTCCCTCTGCCCATGTTTTTCGCCAGGTTGTGCGCCCCTCACATCCATGCTCATAGCTCTGACCACCTGCACCCCTGTTCTCCCTATTTCTTGGTTTCTAGGGCCAAAGTTGTTTCCTGGCTCCCTAGAGGAGCTGCACCTGCCTCAGTCACCTCCAGGCCCGACCCAGATGACTTTTGAACAGCCTCCCCCTCTTCCCCCCAAAATGTGTAGAAGTGTCAGTGTGACCAATCTGAGGTCCCCCCTTCTGAGGACCTTCCAGGAAGTACCAAGTGGAAGATCCCTGTCCCAGGAGGACTTGCTGGAGGAGGCCAGTGTCACCATGGTAAGTCAGTTCTGCCACCACGCAGAGCCTGGGCAGCCAATGGCTACTGCCTGGAAGGCCTCTCTCCGCATCACAGGGCCCAGGACAGATCCGCACACAGGGTTCTCAGCAGGGGAGATAACCAAGTCACACAAACAAGAAAACCTTTGGTACCCATGGGGCATGTTTTACCAAGAATAGAGAACGTGGTAGAGTGACTGAGATGGAATGGAAGTGGCGTCTCTGAGGAGATGACAGACAACTGACCCTGAGCAAGGGGGAGAAAGCGAGAGCTGTGGAAACCCAGAGGAGCAGGGATTCTAGCTTAGGGCCACAAGCAGCAAAGGTCCTGAGGATATGGAGACTCTACTGGATGACAGAGGGACTGAAGAGAGGACAGCCCTTCACCCCGTGCTTTTCTCTCTTCCTCCCGGCGCCCCGCCCCGTGCAGATGTCTTCCTGTGTCCCTCTGGCCAGCTCAGGTCACCAGCAAGTCCTGTCCAGAGCTGTCCTTCTCTGCCCCTCTGCTCTCTCTTCCTTACCTGTGCAAGAAACCAGAAACGTCCACTCCTGAACTCTTGTAGCAGGGATCTCAGACCTGGCCGGGGACCCCTTTAACCTGGGATGATGTGAGGGTGGGGCCCTCTCTTCAACTACTCCCCCCCAACACACACACACACACACACACACACACACACACACACTAAAAGCCTGTTCCCCTTTCCTGGGGCCCTGGGTGGGGTGGGGTGGGGGAGGAGGGAAGTTGGCAACAGGAAGTGAGGAGAAAAGCAAAGACTGAGGGAGGGAATAAAAAAAAAACACAAAACCAACGAGGGTTTCTCCCCCCAGCACCTGGGGCTCCCCAGTTTGGAGCTGGCGGTGGGAAAACGAGGAGGGGGCGAGGCAGAGGGAAGGCTGGCGAAGGGCCCGCAGAATAACCTCCTGCTTCCCCTTTCTCGGCAGGCGGGACCCCAGCCTCTCATGTCAGAGCCTCCGGTGTACTGTAACCTGGTGGACCTTCGCCGCTGCCCGTCGTCGCCGCCCCCCAGCCCCGCCTGCCCCCCGCTGCAGAGGCTGGACGCCTGGGAGCAGCACCTGGACCCCGTCTCGGGACGCTGCTTCTACGTCAACTCGCTGACCGGCTGCAAGTCCTGGAAGCCGCCGCGCCGCGCGCGCGCCCGGGACCAGGTGAGACCCGCCCCCCGCGGGGCCCCTCGCGCCCCCCAGCCGCCTCCTTTGTCCTCCTCAACTCCGAGCACGGCGAGCAACCCGTGGCTCCTCGGCTCCTCCCTCCAGAACCCCGGCTCCATGGAGGGGACGCAGACCCCGCACCAGGACAGCCCCGCCCCGCGTCCTCAGGCCGGGGGCCCGGGCTCGGCGGCGGGGACCCCCGAGCTGCCCCACCCCCAGGTGAGATTCCGGCGGCGCCCGCAGCCATCTTCTGGTGTGCAGTCCTCCTTGCCCGCCACACCCCCGCCCGGCCCACATCCGCACCCCTATCCTCCGCAGCCGGGGAGTGCGAGTTGAAGGTTCTTCCACCTGTTTCTCCAACCCCCTCCCCCAGGGCTCCCCCGGCCGCCGCCGCCCGCACGCCCCCCGGCTAGACGCCCCGGGCCAGCCTGCTGCAGCCTCGAGGCCCCCCGCAGCTCTGCCGCAGGTCCTCGAGGACCCCCACGTAAGTCTCCCATTTCCGCGGGGGCGCCGACCTCCCAGCCCCGACCCCCAGTTCCTTCTCTCTGCAGAAACGCCTTCCTCTTTCTGAGCGTCCGGTGGGCAGCCTCCTTGGCCCCCCAACTTTGAAGGAGCTCGCGCCCCGGGAAAGTCTCGGAGGGTGCGGTGGGGTGCTGGGTGACCCCCTCCCTTGGCTTTCCAGGAGGTGGAGAAGTCAGGCCAGCTCAACGTGACCAAAATCGCCCTGGGGGGGCGCAAGCTCAGGTGAGATCCCCGGACCCCCACCCCCGAGGGCCGTGCCCGGGCAGTGCGGTGGGCGGGCTGGGAGCTGGGTGTGCGGAGGGCGCTGCGCCCACCCGCCTGCGCCTCCAACTCACCTCGCCCCGCACCCACGCCCCGCGCCCCGCAGGAAGAACTGGAGCCCGTCTTGGGTGGTACTAGCGGGGAACAGCCTGGTGTTCTACCGAGAGCCGCCGCCGTCAGGGCCCTCTGCGCTGTGGGTGAGTGTGAGGGGAGCGAGGAAGGCGGGGGGTGGGAAGCGCGGCGGGCGGGAGAGGTTCGGACACCGCGTGGCCCTCCTGGAGCCCAAACGCGCGGGACCGCGGGACCGCGATGCGGAGGAAGCGCAGTCCGCCGCCGCCTCCTGGATAAGCGCGGGAAGCTGCGCCGTGGCCTCAGTTTCTCTCACTGCCAGGGCCCCGCGGGCAGCCGGCCCGAAAGCAGCGTGGACCTGCGCGGGGCGGCCCTGGCGCACGGCCGCCACCTGTCCAGCCGCCGCAACGTCCTGCACGTGAGTGCCGCCCGCGTGGCCCGGGTGGGGCTCCAGCGTCCCGCACCCGTCTCCGTTCGGTTTGCTTTCTGTGCTTTGAGTCACGCTTTTGAGGAGCTCAGGGACCACTCGTTACATTCGGCTCTGCACGCGGGGAGGGGAGCGGGGAAGGTCCCTTCTGGCGGTGCTTTGGGAGGACTAGGTAGTGCCCCGGGCCTCCGGCATGCCAAGTCTATGCGTTGCCTCCTCCGGGCTGATGGAGCCTTTCCCCGGCCCCTTAGATCCGGACGGTCCCGGGCCACGAGTTCCTGCTGCAGTCGGACCAGGAGACCGAGCTGCGCGCCTGGTACCGAGCTCTGCGGGACGTCATCGAGCGCCTGGTTAGAAGGCTGGGGGCGCCAGAACGCGCCAGGGGAAGCTCGAGTCGGGCCAGCGAGTTCAGCTGGTGCAGGGGGAACAAAGCGGCGTAGGCGCAGAGCACTGGAATGGGGGTGGCGATGGGGGCAAGCCGCCGGTTAGGGTCTCCTGGCATCCAGCTTGAGCTTCTGCAGATTTCTTTCTTTCGTCTTCCGACTCGGCCTGCCTTGCCCTGCTCGTGTAGGATCGGGAGAACCCCCTGGAACTGCGATTGTCGGGCTCGGGGCCGGCAGAGCTGGGCGAGCTGAGCGCTGGGGAGGATGAAGAAGAGGAGCCGGAGCCGCTTTCGAAGTCACTGTTGCGGATCGCGGGCCGGCGCATCTCCAGTAAAGCGCGAATGGGCGCTGGGCTGGGCGGCCGCGGGTCCTTACCCCGCAGCCGCGCTCACGCTCCTCCCACTCCCCTCCTCCCCGCTCTTCTCCCCCTCCCCCCGCTCTTCAGGTCGCGGTCCTGAAGGAACTGAGCAAAGCCGCGTGCGCAACAAACTGAAGCGGCTGATCGCCAAGAGGCCATCCATACAAAGCCTGCAGGAGCGGGGTCTGCTCCGAGGTGAGGAGGGCTTGAGTGACGTGACTGGCACTGGCGCTTGGACGCTCCTGATGGGACATGCGCCCGTTTCCTGGCTGAGAAAACGGTTCCGAGTGGAGCTTGGCAGAATCAGATCAGTGGTCTTCCGAGTTCATTGCTTCCCCCCCGCCCCCCCCCCACACAGCACGGCATGTGGGCAGGAGTGGGTGCTCTCGTTCTTACCCAGGCCCAATTTGGGGTGAAAATCTGTGCTGAGAAACTTCGTGGGGAAGGCAGGCAAGGACCTCTGCACCCCTCTGTGTCTCCCCAGATCAAGTGTTCGGTTGCCAGTTGGAATCTCTGTGCCAGCGAGAAGGGGGTACCGTGCCTAACTTTGTACGACTCTGTATTGCTGCCGTGGACAAGAGAGGTCATTTCTTCAGACACCCCAACACCCCGCCTTTCAGCAGTCCCCTAGGACACGCCCCCTCCCCTCTGCACCTTAGACCCCCTTTTGCTCCTTTCCAGTCACCCTCCAATCCCTCCCAGCCCACATCACGTTCCAGATTCAGGACAGAATTCTCCCCTGCCTCTCCTAGGTCTCCATGTGGATGGGATTTACCGGGTCAGCGGGAACTTGGCAGTGGTCCAGAAGCTTCGATTCCTGGTTGACAGAGGTGAAAAGGCTTGTGAGCGGAGCGTGGGGTCCAGAACTTCGTGCCTCACTCTGAGTTCTGGGCTGGGCTTGGTCTGGGTGGGATCATGCAGTGCTGGAAAGAGGGACAGAACCTGCATCTCCTACAGGCAAAGAGAAATACGTGTGTGCTCAGCTTTTTGATCTGCTTCCCAGCCTCTGGAACTGCATTTCTGAACCCTTGATCTTCTTTGGTTTGGTTTGGTTTGGTTTGGTTTGGTTTGGGACCACACCCAAGGGTGCTCAGGGGTTACTCCTGGCTCTATGCTGGGGAATTAGTCCTGTCTCTGAGCTCAGAAATTACTCCTGGAGGTACTCAGGGGACCATGTGGGATGCCGAGGATCGAACCTGGGTGGGCCACATGCAAGGCCAACACTCCACCCACTGTACTATCACTCCTGCCTCTGAACCTTTGATCTTTTCTTTTTAAAAAAATTTTAAATAGAATCACTGTGAGATAGACCCTTACAAAGCTGTTCATGATTGGATTTCAGTCATACAGTGTTCCAACACCCATCCCTCCACCAGTGTACTTTTCCCAGCACCAGTGTCCCCAGGTTCCCTCCCATTACTGCCTGCCTCTATGGCAGGTGCTTTTCTTCTCTCTCTCTCTCTCTCTCTCTCTCTCTCTCTCTCTCGTTCTTTCATTTTGGGCATTGTGGTTTGCAATCACGATCATGATCATCCTGTTGTTTGTTGATTGCCTCGAGCAGGCGCCAGTAATGTCTCCTTCGTCCTAGCCCTGAGATTCTAAAAAGTGCCACATTCAAGGCACTTTCAGGGTTAGGAGAATGGGACCCATCATTGTTACTGGTATTTGGCATATTGGGTATGCCACGGGGAGTTTGCCAGACTCTGCCGTGTGGGCAGGTTACATTTGGTAGCCTGTCAGGTTGTCCAAAACAAGAATGAGCTTCCGGGAGCTGGGTTTTATAGTATTAATCTTTTCTTATACACTTGCAGAGCGTGCAGTCACCTCTGATGGCAGATACGTGTTCCCAGGACAAGGTACTTCCATGAAAGTCCCCCCGATCCTTGGGGTTTCCTACACCCCCCCTGATTTTATAGTTCCCCTGTATTTTCCTCTGTGGATGTTGTCGCCATCCTCACCCTTGCTGTCTCCCCTCCCCAGGTTTTTCTTAGCTGCATCTTTTCTCCAATCCCCGATCTCTCAGTCTCTGGATTCCTCTGACTCTTGGTGAACCCTGAACCTCTCTGGGCCTCCTTCTTGCCTTCCAGAAAGCTGCTTAGATTTAGACAGTGCTGAGTGGGATGACATTCACGTGATCACTGGTGCTCTGAAGCTGTTCCTCAGGGAGCTACCCCAGCCTCTGGTGCCCGCAGTGCTGCTGCCACAGTTCCGTGCCACCCTTGGTAAGAGATAGTGGTTTGGGGGGGAAGCACTGGATGTGGGTGGGTGGGATGGGGGAGGGCTGAGCGAGACAGAAGAGAACAGACGTTCCCTCACACTCTTGTCCATCCGGAGCAGACGGAACACAGCTTTTGACTCTACGTGCCAACTCCATTTGTTTTTTCGGTGAATGTTCAGAGGGCTGAGTTGAAAAGAAATTCAGGGATGCTTAGTGAAAAGCAAAACTGCTTGCATGTACTGGCCCCTGGTTCAGTCCCCACCACAGCATACAGTCCCTGAGCACCTCCAGGAGCCAGGGGTGATCTCTGAGCACAGTGCCAGGAGTAAGGCCTGAGCACCATAAGGTGTGGCCCCACCAAAGCCTGTGATAGACGAATGATGTTTTCCAAGGGCACAGGCAAGAGGGGTGAATGTACCCTTTGGCCCCTGGCACCTTTGCTAACTCCCACCATGCCCTCATATCTCTCTTTCTCCCCAGCACTCTCGGAACCAGAGCAGCGCTTGTCCCAAATACAAGAATTAATCAGCTCCATGCCGAAGCCCAACCAGGACACTCTGCGGTACCTCCTGGAGCATTTGTGCAGGTCAGGAGATCTGAACATCTCTGTTTGTGTAGGGAGGAGGACGACGCCACTGGGACTCAGTTCAGTGGGGCTAAGTCTGGTGCACAGATTGGGGAAACACGTGGTCTGTGTGTCAGGGCCATATTACCAGGGCCCAAACTTTGCAACAGGGCAGTGTGATATAGGACCAGTAAAGAACCCAGAGCTGGGGCCAGAGCCATAGTACTATGGGAAGGGCTTTTGCCTTGTACACGGCTGCCCGGATCAATCCCCAGAACCCCATATGGGGTCCCCAAGCCTGCCAGTTGTGATCCCTGAGTACAGAGGCAGGAGTGAGCCCTTAGCATTGCTGGGTGTGGTGCCAAAACAAAAACACAAACCAAAAAAAGGAAGAATGGACAGACAGATCCAGTGATAGTGTGAGATGAAAAAGAGAAGAGAGATCTGCTTCTTTCTGCCAGGTTCTTGCTGGGACCGCGGCAGTGATGCTGCTGGGTCTGGGAAAGGAAGGCCGTTTGGGTCTCAGCCCATCAGGGCCCGGAGGTGTGACTCATTAGTAAAACCCTCGCCCTACGTGGGCCTGGGCTGGATCCCAGTAAAACAACCCCCAAATTGCGATCAGAGAGGCAGTCTGTGGAGACAGGCGTAGCCTCTGTTATACCTCCGCTTCATCCTGAAGGTTCCTCTTCCGGTCCCCACTCCATTCCCCTTGGGTATCTCTCCTGGGTCTCTGTGCTCACCCTCTAGAGGGGCTTCTGGGAAGTGGTTAACAGAAGCAAAGCTGCTGCCTCAGAGCCCTCTTCCGTTGGCCTTTGCCCCCAGGGTGATAGAACACTCCGAGGAGAATCGCATGACCCCCCACAACCTGGGAATTGTGTTTGGACCAACTCTGTTTCGGCCTGAGCAGGAGACCGCTGACCCCGCAGCGCATGCGCTCTACCCGGGGCAGCTGGTGCAGCTGATGCTCATTGACTTCCGCAACCTCTTCCCGTGACCGGACTAGGAGGAAGAGCCGCATGTTGGTGGTCACCTTGGGGATTGCGTGGGGGTGTTCTTCTCTGAGAACTGCCCTTTATGTCCTGATGTCCAGGCTAGGGAGCCACTCAAGGGCTGGAGCACAGTCTTTAAATGCAAGAGGCACAGGTTCAGCCCCCCAATACCACATGTGCCCAGGGGCATCGCCAGGTGTGACCCCTGAGCACAGGGCTGAGTGTAGCCCCTGAGCATTGCTGGGTGTGGTGCCCAGAAACCTACAAAAATAAAATAAAACAGGTCCCGTGTTTCTGTCCTCAGCTTTTTGGGTGGTGGTAGGGATGGGTGATTTGGGCCATGCCCAGCGATGCTCAGGGGTTACTCCTGGTTCCGCACGCAGGCATTACTCCTAGCAGGAATTACTCCTGGCTGTACTTAGTGGGTCATGGAGGATGCTGAGAGGATGCTGGGGTTGGAACCCAGGTTGGCCAGCATGCAAGACAAGTGCCTTACCCACTGTACTATCGCTCTGGCCCTGGTCCTTAGCTTTAAATCTATTTCTGGGGGCAGGGATGGGATGAGGGAGCTTCTCTCAAGAGGAAAGTGGGTGGAGTCATTCCTGCTTTGCTTCTTGTTTCCTGCCCTCACCCCTTCCCCAGGGTAATAACACAGAAAGCAGGGCACTTTCTCATACAGTTCCTTTATTATCAGGAAACAGTGTCATTATCAATTTGTTCCCCAAACATACAGAGATTGTATACTGCCCCATCCCCCTCCCATCTCCGGGGCATGCCAGGGGGCTATGGCTCCATCTGACTTCTCTGGGCTTGTGGAACCCCCTTGCGAGAAAAGTCAGTCTGTGATGGGTGGGGTTCCCCCACTTCCTAGGCATTGGAATTGAGGAATTGTGTCTCTCCGGGCAGGGATCCCAATAAGACACTCATGTTGCCCACGGCCATGTTGGGGGCCCCAGGGGGAGGAGGGGTGTGCTCAGAGCTGTCCCCTGGGTCATGGGAATGGGGAGGACTCAGTCCTGGGGCCTCATCCAAAATAGCCACAAAGTCCAGCTGAGTGTTGTCAAGGTCCAGAGAGTCCAAGGGGTTACAAACTTGTCCTTCCGGAGGCGGGTACAGAGCAGGGCCCGCCCCCGGCCTGCCCACCTCTGGATGGCCACAGCTAGGATTGGTGCCCCCAGCCTTCAGGGGACCATAGCAAGTGGGCAGTGGGGGCAGAAGTCGGGGTGGGGGCACAGCCCTGTGGGAAGCCTTGTTTGCTCCCGCTGTAAAATTTTCATGGCACGCTGAAGGGGCAGGATAGGAGCCCGCCTTGTGGTTGGGCAAGCCAGGGGCAAAGGAAGGTCCATAGGTGGCCACTGGGGCCTTGGCAGGGCTGGGGCTAATCTGGGAGCCCCCCAGAAACTTGGGATTCTGGTAGAGAGGCTCCTGGACTGAGGGATCTCCCCGGCCTCCCCCTTCCCACAGCAGCTCTTGTTGTGACTGGACATAGTTGCACACAAGCTGGGCCTTGAGCTGGCCCGTGGACTGAGCGGGACACTCGAAATCCAGCCCCGGCCTGGGTTCAGAAGGAAGATATTCAGGAGGGGGTTGGGGGTAGGGGCCTGACTGGGGATACTGCGGAGGGGGCGGCTGTGGGTAGTGGGAGAATAGAGGCTGTGGGTGTGGAGGGCCCTCTCCAGGATGGGCATTGAGGCAGGGTGCCAGTGCGGTGGTATCAGAGCCTGCTGGACATCCCTGTTCGGGCTTGACCTGTACCTGTCCGTAATGTTCAAGACGGGGACACTGGCTGTAGGCGCCTGTGGCAGCCTTGGGGCCTGGGTACAGCCCAGGGTGGGAAGGGAAGTCACCCCATGTTTCTGGGGTGGGGTCAGGATAGGGGAGCTGCTGGGGACAGGGACTGGGGCCATAGCTGGTGGGTGGGCCGGGCCCCACGGGCAGGGAACTTGGACCCCTAGCTCCATAAGGCTCAGCCGCTGCCCCCTCAGGTCCCCTGTACCCCAGGGGATCAGTGGGTGGGAAGTCCACGTAGGGGTTTAGACTCCCCATCATCGAGGCTGCAGCCCCTGACTCCTCCCGCAGCCCTCGGCTATCCATGGTGACATTCTCAGAGATACTGGGGGGCTGTGGCGAGTAGACAGAGGTTGGAAGTTGCGGATCAAAATTCCGTCCCCCTGCTGCCATATTAGGGGTTGTGTGGACGCATCCCAAGCTCTTGAACCGCTGGACTCGGGCGGGGGCAGGGCGGTCAGCAGCCCGGGCTGGGTCACTGGCCCTCCGGGTGACACCCATGTTGGGGTTGTACCCTGGGTACTCAGCTCGGCTTCTCCAGGGAGGGGCAGGAAGACCCCCCATCCGATCCAGGCTGGGTGCTGCTGTGGGTGGGGTCCCGCCTCCCCTGGCTGATGCATAGCGGGCCCGGAGCAGGTAGTGCTGGGCAGGGGTGAGGCCAGGCAGAGAGGAGAGCCCATTCTCTGTCGGGGAGCCCGGCGGGAAAGGCGAGGCCAAGGACGAACGGCGGCTAACGGTGTAGGCAGAGCTGACGCTGCTGGAGCTACTGCTGCGACGGTCCAGGGAGGCTGGGGGGCCCAGCCGGCGGGACACGGGGGTGCCTGAAGGGGACAGGAGAAAAGGCGGCTGGTCAGGGGCACCCGGATCTCACCCTGTCTCCCCCATGGCTTGGTTCTAGATTGTTGCTCTAAAACCCAGGAGCGGGCTCCTGAATGCTAACAGCTCAGGTCTGTCTCCTCCCAGGCCCTTTCTGTCTCTGAGTCAAAGGTGCGCTGTGGATGGGGTGCACTGCCCTAAAGGGTAGTGTTGGTCAGTTTCCTGGTAGATGGCAGGACAGCATCTTGAGAAACGGGACTTTTCCTAAGTGGACACAGGATGACGTCCTGCAGCCTCAGGGAAGGTCCAGAACTCAGCCCAGCGCCACCCGCCACACCCAGCTCTCACCCGTGTGGGTCAGACTGGGCAGTTTGAGACCCCGGGGCCCCACTGGCCGGAGTTGGTGGAGCTGGTCCAGCCTGAGGTTCTCGAGGCGACGAAGAGTGGACAGTCCGTTGCCAGTCATGCAAGGCCCCTCGTCCAGGCTGGACAGGTCCTCCGTGCTGCCCCCCGCGTTTCCGGTCATTTCCACTCCGCTGTCTGTATTGGCTGCGCTGCCCGCTGGAGAGTGGTCACTGCTGCAGGAAGACTGGGCTCCGGGACTAGGCTGTGGCTTCTGTGGGAAGATGAGGGCTGAGGCTGGCATGTTCCCCTTCCTGCAGCTCCTTGAACTTGGCAAGTGGCTGAAGCCTGTGTGCCAACAGCTGCTGGGGCTGAGGGGAGGCTAACGGGTGCAGGGAGGCCTGAGCAGGTGGGGACTGAGCCAAGTGCAGGAGGGAGACTGGCAGGAGCAGCCACCAGGAGCATAGGTGCCTGTCCCCAACTCCTGCTGAGTTTGGTCTTTGTTTGGGGGGCACACCCAGCGGTGCTCAGGGGGAACTTCCTGGCTCTGCGGTCAGGAATGACTCCTGCCGGGCTTGGAGGACCAAATGGAATGCCGCGATCGCGATCGAAGCTGGGTCCGCTGCATGTAAGCCAAGCGCCCTGCTCGCTCTTCAATCACTCCAGTTCCACTCCTGCTGTGTTCTGCCACTTTAGGCTTTAGCTCCTTTTGCTTGTTTGTTTTGTTTTTGTGATTTGGCGCGTCAGGGATTGAACCTAGAACCCATGTCGTTGTGTATGTAAGACATGAGATTTCCCACTGAGCCACATCCCTGACCCTAATCGGCAATATCGTGCGCAGGGACTACTCCAGCAGTGCTACAAACACCCTACTCACTGTACTACCCTGCCCCTGCAGGCAGAGCTTTGACTCAGCCTCTGAGCTGTCTCCTTGGCCCCAAAGGCAAGGTCTTCTACGTTTTGTTTGTTTTCGGGTCACACCTGGGGAAGTTTAGGGCTTATTGCCGTCTCTGTGCTCAGGAATCACTCCTGGCGGTGTTCAGGGGACTGTATAGGAGTCCGGTGATAAAACCTAGGTCAGCTGCATGCAAGGCAGGCACCTAGCCGGCAGTATTACCTCTCTGGCCCCTGATTTTCCTCCTCTGAAAGTGAAGAGGAGATGTTTTTTGCTCATGTTGTGAGTACATGAAATTATGCCTGTAGATGCCAATATTCTAATCTGCACATAAGTTTGCGTAACCAGTGACCTCAGAATCAATCATTATACTAAGATTTCTAAATTTGGGGGAAGCTCAAGGTGCAGCAGTGGGTTAGGAGACTGGATTGGCCGCTCTCAGAGGGGAGGAAGGAGCAGAAAGAAGGGCTGGAATACGGGGGCCGGCGGGGGGTCTCACCATGGCCCCTTCCGGCACTGCCAGTCTGCTTTCCTCCCGAATAGAGCCTCCATCGCGTTCCCTCTTGGGTTCCACCGTGGGAAGGGACGGTGCCCGGGGCAGGGGACCATCTCCTCGGTGCCGCTTGGTCACGTGGGCATCAGGCCCATGCACTGTCTTGACGTGTTTGCGGAGCGAGCTGGGGTCTGTGTAGCGCTTGGTGCAGCCAGGGAGCTTGCACACGTAGGGTTTCTGTTGAGGGAGAGGAGTCAGGGGCAAAGGCCAAAGTGGGATGGGGGTTCAAGGAGCAGCACCCACCAGGGCATTGAGCGAGCATGGGGGGTGTCAGACAGCACCTAGGGAAGCAGAGTAGGGCATTGGAGCAAGAGAAGTGACGTTCCAGCGGAAGCCGAGGAAACCGACAGCCCAGGATAGGAAAGACCATTGAGGCTGGGCACCTCAGACAGGCAGGGGATGAGTGACCAAAGGTCTCCTCCGGCTGGAATGGGTCTATTTTGTATTTCACTTTTCACACTCAGCAGTGCCCAGGGCTCCCATTGGCTTGGTGACCAGGAGATCATGTGGTGCTGGGGATCGAACCTGGGTCTCCTGTATCCAAAGTATGTGCAGTAGCCCTTCGAGCTGCCTCCCTGGCCTCAGAGCCTCTCTCTGTCTCTGTCTGTCTCTGTCTATCTCTCTTGTCTCTGTCTGTCTCTGTGTCTGTCTGTCTCTGACTCTTTGTCTGTCTCTGTCTCTCTGTCTCTGTCTGTCTCTGTGTCTGTCTGTCTCTCACTCTCTGTCTCTGTCTGTCTCTCTATTTCTCTCTCTCTCTCTCCCCATCTGACTCTCATTCCCCACAATATTCTGCCTGGTACCACACCAGCAGTACCTCATGGGCCACTGGGGCTACACCTGGAGGTACTGGGGATTCAAGCAAGGGATTGAACTCAGGGTTGCGCACAGGTCAGGCTTGTGCTCTGACACTTGGGCTAGCTCTTCAGACTCTAAGAAGTTTCTTCGTGTGGGGCAGGGTGGGGTGGGGGTGGGCAAGACCTAGCCCCCCCAGTAGCCACTAGTGGCTATTCCTGTCTCTGTGCTCAGAAGTGATCCCTGGCAGTGCTCAAGGGACCAAACGCGGTGCCCAGGATTCAAACCAGGGTCAGTGGGATTCAAGGAAGGGCCTTACCCCCTGTCCTATTTCTCCAGCCCTCTCAGGGCTTCAAGGGGGAGGGGCTCTCGATCACGGTCATTCACCTCATTGGAGTGGGTCCGGTTCTGGTGCTTGGCTCGGTCACTGGCGTTGCTGAAGGCTTTGCTGCAGCCCTCATGCTCACACATGTATGGCTTCTCCCCCGTGTGTGACCGCAGGTGTGTCTTCAGATTTTCCAGGCGGGAGTATGACTTCCGGCACCCCTCAAACTGGAGGATATGATGGGGGAGTATTCATAGACTAGTTCTCTGACAGCACATGGAAATAAAAGGAACCCTCCATTGCAACAGGGATGCACATCAGAGTAGACAACTTAAGATGAGATTGTATTGAGGCTTTAGGAGAATTCTCCAAACTTGGGACAAAGAGGCAAAAGTGGTGGAACAGAAGAAGCTGGAGGCCCTTGGTCTTCAGGGACAGGAGGGGAGCGGCCACCCTCTCCTGTGTTCACACCCCTTCCTGGATCCCTCGGGCTGTCAGGGCTGGCCCAGCTCAGGCCAGTCTTCTGTCCATGCAGGCCTTTGGTACCAAGCCAAACGTTCCCATTTTTTTCTTTGCTTTTTGGGTCATACCTGGTGATGCACAGGGGTTACTCCTGATTCATGCACACAGGAATTACTCCTGGCGGTGCTTGGGAGACCATATGGGGATGCTGGGAATCGAACCCGGGTTGGCCGCATGCAAGGCAAACGCCCTACCTGTTGTGCTATCGCTCCAGCCCCACGTTCCCATTTCTTGATTTCTTCCTTTTTGATTTTTTTTCTGGCTTTCAGGTCACATCCACAGTGCTCAGGGGTTACTCCTGGCTCTGTGCTAAGAAGTGACCTGTGGCAGTACTTGGGGGACCCTATGTGGTACCAGGATGGCACCAGGGTTGACCATGTGTAAGACAAACCCCTAAATCCCTGCACTGTATTTTTAAAATCGAAGAAAACAGGGACTGGCGTGATAATAGCGTGCTTGCCTTGCGTGCAGCTGACCCAGGTCCTATCCCTGGCACCCCATATGGTTCCCTGAGCCCTGCCAGGAGTGACCCCTGAGTGCTGAGCAGGAGTAAGCCCTGACACCAACGGGTGGGGCCAAAAACAAAACAAAAAAGACAAAGTCCCCTTCCCCTCAAACCCCAGCCCCTCAAAACAAACAAAAAACAATTAAGGAAAACATTTGCTTTTAGGTCCCAGAAATGTTCTAATACACCATATCAATAGATTCTTTTTGCTGCAACATAGTCATAAAATGCAGTTTTTAACTGTATGCATTATAGAGCAGGAAGCAGAGACTGGAACAAGGGGAGGGACAGGATGGGCCAGGGATGGGATGGGATGGGGGGACTCCGGTTCCGGAAGCCAGGTCTCACCGTGCACTTGTGTGGCTTTTCCCCTGTGTGTCTGCGCATGTGGACCACCAGCATGTACTGCGCTTTGAAGGGCCTCAGCTCCCTCGAGCAGCCACCCCAGTGGCACACGAACTCCTTCCGCTCCCCGTGGATGTGCTCGCTGTTGATGTGCTGAGGAAGAAGATTCCGGGGCTCTCCGAGGCTCTTGCCAGACCCAGAATAGACCTTCCCTTGACCTTGACCTGGCACCCCTTGACCCGAGCCCCTCGACCTGAGGCATTCCCTCCCAGAACAGACCTTCATTCTCCATCCTATTTCTCGCAGTCATGCATTTCTACCACAGAGCCTCTGCCCTCAGTGTCCTGCCCGGAAGGCCCTGGTGCTATGCTGGGCAGGTTCCGGTTACCCCCTGGGGCTCACGTGCACCAGCTGCTCCTGGGAGTCGAACTCCTGGTTGCAGCCATCCCAGCGGCAGTCGGTCTCGTACACGGACTCGGGCTCGGGCTTCTCCTCTCGCTCCAGCTCCTCCCGCCCTTCCAGCATCCCCAGCAGCGGGTCCTGGGGCGGGACAGGCAGCCTCCGTTGCGCATGCGTGCTCTCCCATGCTGCGTGTGCCCAGGTGGAGGCCGCATCCCCCCACTTACCTGTGTGCCTGTGGAGGTGGGGCTGGACATGTCCCCCTCCAGGGCCTCCTCCGGGCACTTGCTCACCAGCATATCCAGCTCAGACTTCAGCTTCCCCCAGGAAAGAGGTGAGCGGGATGAAGGGAGAAGTAGAAGGCAGAGGGCACCAGCCAGGACCCCCGGCCCTGAACGACCCCCAGACAGCTGGGAACCCGGGTTTAAGAAGGGGTTTCCTTTCCCTACTGCCCCACGGTTGGGATGGGCAAAAGTGGGAGCCTTTGAAAGTGTCTGATTCAGCCCCCAAGAAGGCCCCGCTGTACCCAGACCTTACTTTCCTGGGGCTAAAGCAATGGCCTTCCTGGCCTTTGCCTATAATATCCACCCCACCATGGCCGCAGGAAGTGAGAGGGTGGGGCATGAGGTCTCTCACCTGGCAAGTTGGGAGGGGTCCCCGGGACTGAGCATGTGACATCATGCCGCCCTGGGTGGGGTCATGGGGACCACAGGACTGGACCCCGAAGGAAGGCGAAGTTCCTTTTTGGTGGTTCATCTGGGGTGGGAATCCCAGAGATGGGCTGAAGAGGAGGAAGAGAGGAAGGCAGTTACTTGGACCCGTCGGCCTCAGGGAGGGTTTTCTGGCATGGGCCGAGGTGGGGCAGTGCCAGGGACTTAGGAGGACTGTGACACCTTTGAAATCATCAAGTTCAGAGAGGGGTCAGTGAATTTGGTGGAAGTGAGGCTACTATGAATGGGGTATGGGAGGGTCTTTGGGGGCCTCCTAGCCCGCTGGGGCAGTTTGCACCTCATGGTGCCGATGGAGAGGTGACCATAGGATCCCCCTGGAGATGCACAGCGTGAGTTGATGAAGGCTACGAGGGAGCTGGGTGATGTGCGGATAACGGTCTGCAGGTCCAGGCTGGTGTCAGACAGAGGAGAGATGGACAGTGCCCGCTTCTTGGTCAATTTGACTGCACTCCGGGAAGGAGGAAAGAGGGGGGCTGGGGCAGGAAACAGGGAAGACGATGATGTTAAAGGGCCTGTCTCTCTCCACACCCAACCTGATGCTCGGCCAAGGCCAACTGTGATACGACCCTGCTTTGCCCGCTTGCCCTGTGACCTCTGAAGCAAGCCCTAACCCTCACCCCCATTTCCAAGCAGTTCCCCCTGCCTCCTGCTTCCTCCCTCGGGAGGGGCTGACTGAGGAGAGCGCCTGAGACTCACCCTCACCGCAGCTGTTGGTCTCTCTGGCTGGCCCATAACTGTGGGGGCCAGGCATGAGGTTGGCCTGGTGGCAGAAGGGCAGAGCAGAGAGTCCTAGAAGAGAGAGACAGCTGGAATGGGGGATGGGATGGGGATGGAGGATACACGTTTTGAAATCCCAGGCAAGGCCTAATCCCGGAATGCCCTTAGGACATGGGGTTTCAGGGCATGGGAAACGGACACGGGTGGGTGGTAAAGGGGGCGAGATTTGCCAGTCCTCAAGCCCGAGGGCTGGGTAGATGCACTGACCTTCTGTCCCCATGGTGGGGACTCCCTGATTGGGGAGGGGACGGAGACAGCAGGACTCGCCATAGCTACTGACTGGTGGTGGGGTCATCGAGTTGAACATGGCGTTTCGGAGACGAGTGTGGGGGCACTGCGGGACGGGAAGCAGATCTTCGAGTTATAGGGCAAAGGGGAAACAGGGAGGGACAAGGCACAGAACGCTGGGCAGCGCCTGCCCTGGGTCTGAGGCCCTCTAGACGTATATCGGGGGGCCACCAAGTTGTCAGAATTTACTCAGCCAGGGATGGGAGGAGATGTACAAGAGAGGCAGTTGTGGGAGAAGAGTAAGATGAGTAGGATTTTTGCTTGAATGGGCTGTGTGTGCGCATGTGCCCGTGTGTGTGTGTGTGTGTGTGTGTGTGAGAGAGAGAGAGAGAGAGAGAGAGAGAGAGAGAGAGCGCTTTGTGGATGAATTGTGCTGAAGAACTTCAGCTGGGGGCCAGAATGATAGTACAGTGTTACAGTGTGTAGGGAGTTTGCCTTGAATGCAGCTGACCAGGGTTTGATCCCTGGCATCCCGTATGGTCCCCCAGCACCGGAAGGAGTAATTCCTGATTACAGAGCCAGGAGTAACCCCTGAGCACTGCTGTGTGTGGCCAAAACCCCCCACCCCTTAACATTTTTTTTTCAATAGATTGTGGAGGGGCCCACCCTGCAGTCCTCTGGCGCTACTCCTGTTCTGTGCTGGGGTGTGAGGACTGCGCCCTGCACTGCTCAGGGAGATGGAATACAGGCCCCACAGGCAAAGGTGCGCTCAGCCCATTAAGCTGTTGCTCCTGATTTCATATCACAGACCTTCTTTTTCCTGCTCTAACCACAGCCCAGCTTGGAGGGGGGATGGCGAACTCCTGAGGAGCATCTGACGGCAGCACCTGGCTGGTCCTTCGTTTTCCTCCCGTGTTCTTGTCCGAGCCTGCCGGCTCGACAATATCGCTAGTGTCCAGCAGAGGGAGCCCTCGCCACAGCTCAGAGGGGCCGGGAAGCCAGGAGAGAGCCCGGAGGAGCAGCCCCTGTCTCAATCTCTTTCTCTCTCTCTCTCCCCCTATCTCTCCCTGCCCCCTCTCTTTCCTCTCTTTCTCTTTCCCTCTCTTCTCTCTGTCTCTGTCTCCTCTGTCTCCTCTCTCTCTCTCCCTCCAAAAAAAAAAAAAAACCTGTGTCCCAGGGGATGAGGTTTCTGGGGGAAATCTCCCGGGTCTGCCTGACACAAAGAGTGGAAGCTGACTTTATCCTGAGCTGGGGTGGGAGATGGAAGCCCACCTAACCCTTTTGCTCCGTTTGGCGGGCACCGGGGAAGGGACGGCCAGGAGAAGCGGCTTCGGGCGGAGGCCAAAGCAAAGTCCTCCCGCCTGTCGGGTCGCGGCGAGGCCGGAGCGGTGCGGCGGTTCGCCGGGAGCTCCAGCTCGCACTCCAGCCCGGGTTTTGCGCGCACCCGGGACTGAGGGTGGGGTGGGGCGGGGTGGGGTGGAGAACGACCGGGAGCGGACCGGCCGGCGCGGTGGGTGATCCCGGGATGCTGGGATTTAGGGTGAGGGCGGGGTAAAATGGGGAGCGGAACCCGGACCCCATGACCCAGCCCGAGCCCCGCAGCCTGGGCTGTTCCTGTCTTAACTCCTCCTCTCTCCGAGGAGATCCGGATCCCGCATCCAAGACCTCCCAACACGACCTTGGCACTCGTGTGTGTGTGTGTGTGTGTGTGTGTGTGTGTGTGTGTGGTGGGGCGGGCACAGCTGGCTGGCAGCTGGATGGGGGGACACTTCTCCCGCCTCCTTCTATGACTCATCCAGAAGGAGGCGGGGGCTCTCAAACGACCCCCCCCAACGACCCCTCCCCCCAAAGACCCACTAAGAGAACCCCCTAAACGTGCCCGTTCAGGCATCTTCCACGTCCCACTGTCCAGCCTCGGGGCAGCCGCGCTGGAAACGGGGCGACGTCCCTCCCCGCCCGCGCGTGCCACGGCCCACCCACGTCTCCCTTTCACACTCGCGCAAGGAAAATTTCGCCCAACTTTTCCAGCCTCCCATCAAGTGTTTTTTTTTTCTTTCCTGGGGTGTGGAGGAAAGCGCAGGACGGGGCCCGGGCGCCCGAAGGCTCCCCGGCGGGAGCCCTGAATCATTCCCTGTGTCTCCCTCTTTTCCAGAGTCCCCCTCGCACCCCCGCTCCCCAACTCCCAGGAGCCGGCCCCGCCCCCCGCCGCCCCGCCTTCCCCGCCCCCGAGCCTCCCCGGCCCACCCAAGTCGCCGCCGCAGGCTCCGACTGCAGACGGCTCCGCGGCCCCCGCCCGCCCCGCAGCCCGGCCGAGCAGCCGCGGCCCGGGGGGGCGGGGGAGGCGGCCGCGCTCCTCCCTCCGCCGCGCGCGCCCCCGAGAGCGGCCGGCCCCAAGCGGGGGTCCCGGGGCGCGCCGCCGAGGGAACGTGACTGCCGGCCACTCGGGCGAGGTGCGCGCGGGAGCGCAGCGGCTCGGGCACCTCCGGTCCGGCGGCCTCCCGCCGGCCTCCCAAGGGTTAACCCCTCCAGACCCCCGGGAACCCCTAGTGACGTCAAGGGCGGGGTCTGCGCCTCCCGGTGGGGGATGCCGGGGAGATAATGAGCCGGGGTGTTGGGGGTCCTCTGGACCCCGCCCCCTAGGGAAACCTCCCCTGTCCCGAGCCTTTCCAGCCCCCGGCTGGGGAAATCGTCGCCCCTTCTCCACCTACCCGGCCGTAAAGCCCAGCCTAAGAGGACCCCGGTTCTCCAGCCCCCTCGGACCTTCAGCTCTCAGTCTGTAGGATCCCTTTTCCCTAATCCTGTCCCCAGAGCTAGGTGCCCAGGGCGGATTGTTTCGGGGTCACGGGGCTTGAAAGAGGCTTCAGAGCGTGGACCAAGGGCAGGCAGGGTGGTCTGAGGCAGAGGAGGGGCCCCGGTCCCCGGCTCCCGTTTAGGAGGGGGCCGACGGGGACGCACGGGCAGCCAGCGGCCGGTGGTCCCGCCCAGTCCCAGTAGGGGTCTCCCTGCGGATGGCCCCAACTGCCCCGGTGGTCTTGAGGTCAGAGGGTCAAGACAAGGTCTCCTCTGCTCCTCCTCAGCACCCCGCATGCAGTCTTTAGGATCAGGGGTCCGAATCCTTTGGCGGAGTCTTTCTGGGGCCTAGGACAGAGTTTCTCCAAGTCCCTTCCCAGCTCAGCGACTCTCCACGTCCCCCTCCCCCCAACACATGTTCCCGATAGTCATTTGTTAGAAGACAGGTCGGGGTTCGAGCCGGCCCCCACTCCTCCCGCTTGCTGTCGCCTCACACACACCCACTCCCACCCCACCTAGGGCTCCCTCGGTGTCCCCTCCTTCCAGAAATACTGACGTCTTCCTGCCGGCGCTCAGGGACGCACCTGGAGTTCCCTCTCTACCGCGCAGACCTCCGGCTAGCCGGCCCTCCAGCCTCTTCATCCCAAACTCACGACAGCGAGGTGTTTCTAAAACATGCGAGAGGCGGAGACAAAGGGATCCGCGGATGCCCGAAACTCGCAGACTGTCAGAAGAAGAAGGAGAAGGAGAAGAAGAAGGAGGAGGAGGAGGAGAAAGTACAGAAAAAGGGAGAACCAAATGAACAAATTCTCCAAGCTCTCTACTCTTTACCCCAAGCTCTACCATCCCATTTTGCCTTGGTGGCCAGGTCTCCCCGTGGGCCAGGCGAAGTCCCTCATCCACTGCTCGGGCATCCCCCCAGCCCCCTCCCCCACGCTCCCAGGTGGTCCCCCGCCGGCCCCCCCTTCTCACCTCGGTCTGGGCGCTGGGCTCGGGATGCGCGGTCCAGGGCAGGAGTCTGAGCTGGGGGGTGTGCGGTGGGATGGGGGGGCGGACAGGGCGACAGCAGCGCAGCCTCAGTGCCACCCCACCCCCCCTAACCTGGCCCCCAGCCCTCCCGCCGGCCCAGCCCGCCGGGCCGCGAGCCGGGACCACCCGCGAGAAGCGCAAAACTTTTTTTTCTCTTTTGCAAAAACTTTTTCTCCCTCAAGCCGCTGGCGCGCCGCCGCTCCTCCGGCTCTCCCCTTACCTCCCTCCTATATTCCTCCCTCTTGGCCTTCTGAAGGATGAGGCGGGTAGCTGGAAGCGAGAGAGGGGGTGCTGGGCTTATTGCACCCCCAGGACCCCCAGGATCCTCCCCCTCCCTTGAGGGACCCTATACTGCCTAGCACCCCCCCCACCGAACACGCTGCTGATGGTGGGGACTAAAACCCGGCATGGATTCTGGGACCGGCGGCCCAAGAAGAGCCCCTGAACCAGGGCCAGAAAAAACAGATTGAGAAATATACGGGGGTGGGGGCCGCCGACAAAGTTCTTCCCGGAAAGACAATAGCAGAGGTAGGGTGGTCTACTTCCGTTGGTGCTGAGCATTCCGCCACCCTGGAGCTGATCTGATCGTTTTTTAAAGCCTTCTCTCCCTTTGGAAGGAACTTGAAGGGTTCGGACGGGGTGGGGGGGTTTGGTAGACACGGGCTTGGGATCGAGCTGGGGTTGGGGACCCTGGGTGGAAGGTGAAGGCGTCTAGGGAGCCTAGGCAGAAGAGGAACAGAGGCGGAGACTCTGGGTGCAGGATACCGTGCGCACAAGGTAGCCTAGGATCCTGCCGGAGTGCTCCGCGAGAACCCCCCTAGCTCCATCTCCAACTCTGGAGACAGCGGCCACCTCCGCACCTCTGCGCTGCCCGCTCTTTCTGCTCGCCAAGGCTGTGTGCGCCCTCTGCTGGCCCTTCTGGCAATGACACTTTCTTCGAGCCGGATGGCAGGCGGAGGGCACTAAAGGACTAGGAAGCCCGCCGGCGTCCCATTAAGCCCAGCTAGGTGCCCAGGAAGAGGATCTTAGGAGCCCGGGGAACGGAGGGCAGAGAAGCACTGCCGATCCACTGACAAGAGAGGACCGTGCATTGGTGCCCAATGCAAGGGAAGGGGCAGCTGACTTTCTTTCTAATCAAAAAAGGGGTAAAGCCATAGCGGGGAAGAGACTCCTTTTCGCCTCCTTCTTCCCAGAGCTCCTTCAGTCTGAGCTAGCTAGCTCACCAGGCTAGCTTTTTCTGAAGGTCACCAGGAAAGATGAAAGGAGAGCCCTACAAATGTGGAAGTAACTGTGGAGGGAACAGATAAGGCACCTCCTGCAGATGGCTTTACCTAAGACTTCAGTTGTACTTGGAGGGTCAGAAAGGCTAGTCATCCGTCACTGGAGAGGGGACTTCCTGTGCTGCTGCCCAGGCTTGGACGCCTTTCCCAGGGCTGCTGTTTTTCTGTGTCCTCCTCCTCACCCTGCTCTCTCCATCAGGGATTCTCACACTTTTTGGTTTCAAGAACCCTTCACTGGGCCAAAGAACTAGTTCGGGGCTTAAGACACTCACCTTGCACACAACTGACCCAGGTTTGATCCTCAGCACAGCATATGGTCCTGCGAGCCCCAGCAGAAGTGATCCCAGAGCACAGAGCCAGGAGTAATCCCTGAGCACCACAGGGCATCGTGACTCCTCACACCTCCAAAGATCCTGTACACTCTTAAATAATTTGATGTCTCTGTGTGTGTGTGTGTGTGTGTGTGTGTGTGTGTGTGTGGTGCCAGGGATTGACCTAGGGCCTCACACATGCAAGGCAAGTGCTGTACCAGCTACACCCTGACCCTTATAAGCTTTTGTTTATATGATTTCTTGCAAGTTACCATATTAGAAATTGAAACTGAAAAGAGTTTACAAGCACAAGCACACTCCTTATGAACAACGATGGTGGAAAGATGACATAATCGCATAGACTCGGAGAAACTTGACTGCACTTTTGAGATCATAAGAAGAAACAGCGGCCAGGGATGTGGCTCTCTGGCCGAGCATGTACCTCACATGTGTGAGCCCTGGGTTTGATGCCAGGGATGGCAGGCAGGAGCAGACGCAGGTAAGGGCTTAGTATTCTGAAAGAGATCAAACCTCCCAGGGGATCCCAGCCCATGCTTTGAGAACCGTGGTTCCAGAGTCATCACCCCAGCCCTTCTTCATGATTCATACCGGTGGATTTTCCTCCTCATTTTTTATTAGGAAAGTATAAATGTTTGTCTTCCTCATAGGTCATGCCCTCAGGGAAAACCAAGGAACATCACAAGCTCCCATTTCTGGGGCTCTAAATACCTACCTCTTGCATGTCCTGAGGGGACCCTCCTGACCCTCCCTTACAATCGCAGCAGGGCCTGGAGACAGCTCAAAATTCTCCATAACACATGCTTTGCAGGTGGGAGGCTGAGATTCGATGCCCAGCACTACACGGTCCCCTGAGCACTGAGTCAGGAGTATCCCTCAAGCACTGCTGAGTGTGACCCCCAAATCCAAACCAAACCACAGACCAAACAACCACAACACAGTGACAGCACCTCCACCTCCTCCCAGCCTGTGTTGGGTCCCAGCCTGCAGGGTGCCGAGTCAGCACTTCCTCTACCCCACTTGAGAACTTTCCATTCAAGGCTTCTTCTCTTTCCCTCCTCCTCCCACCCCCCACCCCGGGCAGCCATCTTTTCCTGGCCCTTAGGGTAGCACAGCACCCTTCTGGGGAGACAGCCGCAAGGACACACACTCCCCATGATCTCCCGTACCAACCAGCAGTAGGTTAGAGATGGGACAAGAGCATGCCCATTCGGGTCCCCTGCAGTCAGCCCCATCAGGGAACCTGGTGGCCGCATTATGTGGGGTGCACATCGGGAAACTGAGGCTGCTCATCCCCACCCCCTGCCTGGGATATCCCAACTGGATCTCATCGCTCGCGCCCCCTGCCCAGGGCCTCCTGCTAGCTGCAGCCACAGGCCTCCACCACCATATCTGGCACGTCTGTCTTGACCACATTGCCGTTGCGGTCGAGGTAGAGGAGAGAGAGAGGCCTCCGGGCGGTGGGGACACAGCAGGAGGTACCCATGGGCCAAGGGTTGTTGGCCTTGAGGAGGCTGAAGACAGCAGAGTGGAAGGAGGCGGCAATGCCCGGGCTGCCGGCCAGGTGGGGCGGGCACTGCCCGCTGCAGTAGTTCAGCTGGTAGCCCTCGGGCTGCAGGATCCAGTCCCGCCACCCGAGTTCCTGGAAGTCTACGTAATGGTCTCGCCGGCAGCATAAGGGGGCCTCGGGCTCACAGGTCGGGGTCCTCCTCCTGGCCCGGCCTGCCCCGGGTTCCCTGGGCCGGATCCTAAGCTCCAGGAAAGGCCGCCGTTCCCCCGCCGTGTCCAGCAGCCGCGGGGCCCGCGGGAGGGCCGTGCGGTTGCCGTCGGCGGAGCGGCAGTCCACTTGGAGTCTCAGGACGCCCGACGCTTCCGCCCTCAGGCCACTAGGGGGCAGGGCTAGGGCCTGCCAGCCCGGGCTGCTCATCGGATGCTCCGCCAGGAGCACGCGGGACCCCGGGTGCCTCCTCCGGGGGCCCCATCGGAAGAGCCTCAAGCGGAAAGTGCCGGGCCGGGTGGGGGCCACGTGCAGCCAGAGGCGGGCGCGGGACAGGCGGGCCGGAGCAGGCGACAGGCGGAAGGTGAGCACGGAGCTGCAGGCGGCGGGCGCCGAGTCTGCCGGGGCGACGGGGAACGCGAGGAGGAGGAAAGTGAGCGTCCCGCAGCGCGCCCCACTCGCGCCAGCCCCGGCCCCGCTCGCCTCCCGCGCCGGCCGCCTTCGGGAGAACAGAGTGCGCCCGGCCCCCGTCCTCTCGGCCACTCCCTCCGGCTCCTCCTCCGCCGCCGCCGCCGCTCCCGCGCCCCCTCTGGCGGTCTCCCCGCCGCCCCCCGCGGCCCGCCGCGGCTTCACCCACCTGCGACTTCAGCAAAGCTGATGAGCTCCTCCCCGCTCGCGGGCTCCGCGCTCCGCGGCTGCAGCCGGCGCAGGGCTCTGCTCAGGGCAGCCTGGGGCGGGGGGCGAGGGATTTGGGGGCGGCTGGGCAGGTGCAGCCCCTCGAGGATCTGCTGCTTGGCTAGTTCCAGGACCAGAGCTCGTTCCACTTGGGGCGTCAGCGTGGGTCCCCCACAGGAGGGACACACCGACCCAGCCCCCGGGCCACCCCCGAGTGCCCACAGCAGCCCCAGCAGGAGCTGGACATCGGGGCGCCCCATGCTCTGGGAGGATGGAGGGCCGGGTGTTGGCAGCGGCTACTCCCGCCGGGCTCGCTCCTTCTGGGCAGTCTGCTGGCCTGGAGGCCAAAGAGCGCACCGCGCCTCTCGGCAGACCCGGCGCCTCCTGTCCCCTGGGCTGGGGCGGGGACTCAGGGAGGCTGAGAAGGGGCGTCCGAGGCTTTCACGGAGCCTGCGAGGTTGACCCTCACAGCTCACGTCGCTTCTGACCTGGTGCCTCTTTAGAGCAGCGCGCCCAGGGCTCGTCAACCCAGGATTGGCCAGCTCAGCTGCCCATTAGGCCCCAGCAGGCGGGTGGAGGTCCCCCCACACCCACAGCAGCTCGGGTTTCACCTCTGGCCCTGGTCACACTGAGCTTGAGGTAGGGGCGTGGGGGGTGGGTGGGCAATGTGGACTTGCATGATGCAAGAAAGAGGAGGATTTCACATGCTCGGCCCCAGGCGTGGGACTCGGGGGAGGGAGAGCCATAGGATAAGGTGGGAAAGGGCAGGTACCCCCCTACCCCCACCGCAGGCCTCCAGTCCTTGGAACTGGCCCAGCTGGCCCCTCCGTGGCACCTCCTCCCAGGAGGTGGCTGTGCGTGCCAGGGGGCAATGTTCTGGGAGTCTCAGGGCCAGACTCTTGGCTTCTTATTTCGAGCATTGGAGCTGGGAGACGGGTGAGGGGTTGGGGTGGAGCAGGAGGAAAGGAGTTCTCCAGTCAGGGCCAAGGTGGCTTTGCCACAGGGCACAGAAGTCACCTCTGACCCTGCCTGTGCTGGCCGCCCAGAGTCCAGCTGGACGGGAGCACAGTGTGGAGGAGGACTGGAGCCCAGTGGGGCGGGGGAGGTGGGGTGCTGGTGGCATGGAGCTGAGATTCTAGGGGAACACGGAGAGGTGGGGGTGATGCAATCCTGCAGCGGGCAGAGTCCATCGAGCCTGGCAGAAGGGCATGGGACTTGTACCAGCTGCCTGCCCTTCTCTTTCAGGGGACGGGAGAGTTGCCTAAATTTGGGGTGCCCTGGAAGGTGCTCTTCTCATGCTGGGTAAGGGGAGAGTTAAGGACCTTGAAAAGCAGAGCGGAGAGTGCAGTCACCAGGCTTCCGACTCCTTAGCACACTTCTTCAAGAACTGTAACCGGAGACCCTCCCCTCAGCTCTCCCTCCAGGGTGGGCCTCGGGCCAGTTTTTGGCCTCGTGCTCCACTTTCTTCAGGATGTTGGGAGGACGGGAATGTGGTTTGGAAAAGCGTCCCCAACGCATTTTATTCCCTCCACTCCTATTTAACTAGTTGAGATTGTTAAGAGGAGACAGTCGGGCGCAGTGGGCAGCGGCGTGGAAGCCAGGTGGCAATTGAGGCTGGGCCTCAGTACCGCTAGTGGCCACCGTGTGGCAGTGTCGAGCCGCTGGACCCGGCGTTGCGGGGCGGAGGGTTCGTTCCCCAGGGAAGGGGGCTGCGGGCGGGCGGGAGAGGTGCACCTCGGGCTCTGGGGACCCTGCCTCTTCCTGCGCAGAGGCGGAGAAGCTGGCCCGCTGCTCTGCACTCGGGGCCGCCGGGCCGCGCGGCTCTCGTCCAGACCCACCTCCCGGCTACCTTTCTGGGCCGCTTCCCACTGACACGTGGCAGTGGCGTTTGACGGATGCCAGGCGCTTCCTAGAAACTCAGGGCTCCGCGGGGTGGGGAGAGAGGAAAGTCTAGTGAACCCGCCTGTCTAGGGTGCATTTCTCTGCGGTCCTGAAGCACAGGTAAAGCCCTCTCTTGGTTGGGGCTGGGGAGTGACCCCCGGATGTTTGTCCAGGACATTGAGTTGACATTCGTGTCTGTGGGCCAGCGCAGAGGGTTACCTGTTAGCGCCAGGACACCCACAGGGGAGCATGGCTTCGATAACCACTGGCCCCATGGCTCCTCCGCTGTCTCTGTCAGGTGCCCCCAATTTGCAGCTCTTCATACCCTCTTGCTGCTGCGCCTGGCTTGGTCCTACCTCCCCACTGACACTTACGTCAGAACCCAGCTATAAATAAACTCAGCATCTTAGTCACTTTTCCCAAGAAGTACTCCCAGGTTATAAATACCCCAGCCATCTGCCTCACAGGCCCGCCCTGCCACCAACCTGGTTGGGGGTGGGGGGCTGGCGAAAGGCTTGGAGGTGGCGAAGGAAGCAGAGAACTTGAGCCAACCTAGTGCTCAAATGAGAAAAGCTTGATAGGTTTTAGTGGCCATGGAGTTGGGGAAGAAAAGATTAAGGAGAAGATGGACCCCTTTGTTCCTCACCCCCACTCTCCTTTTTTTTTTAAAACAAAAGGTAGAGCCAAAAATGGAAGGGAATAATACTGATCTTTTAATTTTAAATTTTGCTACTTTTTTATTACAGATTTTTTGGGGCACTCATCTCGATGTTTTCCAAAATGTAGTCTTAAGATATCATCTTGAGACTCATTCTTGAATGTGTGGCACCCCCTAAAATTTTTACCCTCAAGGCAAGTTCCTCACTTAGGCCCTGGGGTCTAAAGCTGGGTTTGGAAGGAGGGAGGTTAGAGATCAGCGAGTGGGGTGAGGAGGGGAGACGGTGGCAGAGGGGCAAGGAGAGAACCCAGAAGACTTCTTTGCATGAAGAACTCCTCCTGTCGAAGGAGGGAGCGTGTGCAGGTTGCTCAGGAAACCTCAGTGTTCAGAGTGCGTTCCTTCGTGCTCCCCTTCCCGCTTTCTCTAGTTCCTATCCCGGGGCCTCAGGCCCTGGGAGGAGGGAGTTAGAAGCTAAACAAACACAGACATCACGTTACCCACAGGACATGTGGCTTTTGCGCAAATTTGGCCTTGGGTTGCAGACAATATTGATCCATGGTTCAGGGCTGTCCAACCAAAGGGAGGAGAAGAGGGGAAGAGGGTAAAGGTCAAAAGAGGCCCCATCCAGGAGCAAATGGCACCCTGTCCTCACCCCAGGTCTTTCCTCCCTCCCTCCCTCCCTTTCCCTTTCTCCTTCCCACCCCCTCCCTCCCTCCCTCCCTCCTTCTTCCTTCCTTCCTTCCTTCCTTCCTTCCTTCCTTCCTTCCTTCCTTGTTTTAGTTTTTTGGCTGCATTTGGCGGTACTCATGGGTGACTCCTGGCTCTGCACTCAAGAATCATTCCTGGTGGTGCACGGGAGACCATATGGGTGGGATGCCAGGGATCGAACCTGGGTCGGCTGCATGCAAGGCAAGTACCCTGCTTGCTATACTGCTGCTCCCACCCCCAGGTTTACCTTTTCTTTTTCTCACCCACTCATTGGCCCGTTCCAGCTTCCCAGCAAGGCTCTGGATGGAGTCCTTGGGGGTCACCCCCAAGAGAGAAGGAAGCCCCCTCTGAGCCAGGCCTGGCCTCCCAGTGTGTATGTGCACGTGTGGGTGACTGTGGCCCTCTTTCCCCGTTCAGCCACCATTAGGTTCGACTCTGAGAGCCAGTACAGAGGGAGGCGAGAAGCAGGTAAAACTCAGGTCTTTATTAGTCGAGTCCAGCGAAGATGGTTGAGGCGGGTCCAGGGGGCCTAAGAAAGAAGAGGCAGCCGGGAGGGAAGAGGCCTGGGACAGACATAATAGCTGCTTGAGGCGCCTGTGTGAGGAGAGTGGGAGCAGGCAGGCCCGGCAGTCAGTCAGCATCTAGGCAAGAGACAAAGGACCCACTTAGCTGTTTGTGTTGTATCCTTAAGAAGACTCAGAGAAGGACTTATTTACAGCGGCAAGGGCAGGGTTAAGAGGGCTGACAGGAAATCCTGAGGCACCCAGGGACCAGCATCGTGGAGAGTCATTACAGGCTCCTCGTGGGGAGGCAGGAAGTAGGCAGGGATGAGCCACAGAGGGGAGCAGGGGAGGGGCACAACCACGACCACACAAGCCGTGGCACCCGGGCAAGGGAGAGCAGGAATAAGAAAGACCCTGACGTCTGCCTCCTCGCCTTTGGTTTTCTGCCCGGGTCTCTCCAGAATGAAACCCAGCAGCAGCCAGAGAGCGAAGGGGTTCAGGGGATGTTGCCCCCGCACGCATGGCAGGGATAGAGGACAAGGATCAGCGTGTGCCAGGAAAGCGGGAGCCAAGTTTGACATGCGCCTCATGTGATCTAACCTCGGTGGAGCCAGGGAAGGGCTTCGCCCAGAAAACTAGGGGAAGGGGCTGGGTCAGTTCCACCCAAGTGGAGGGCCGAGGAGAAAGGGCCGGAGATACAGTGCAAGAGGGCTGGGAACCTAGTCACCCGGCTTGGTTGAGGTGGACCCCAGCACTTAGCTGGCAGCTCATGGGGACTGGGGCCTCGTCCTGAAGAAGTTGACGGTCAGGAAGTGACTCTCTGAGCCGAAGTCCTTTTCCAGTCTGAGTTGGGATCATTCCCCGCCCGCCCCCTCCCCCCCCCCCCCCAGTTTCTCAGGAAGAGGAACCCACGCTTCAGACAGGGGCAGGGATGGGATCACACGCCACACGCTCCTTTGCACAGGACGCTTGCCCTCCCTCCCCCTCCCCGTGGGGTGCCCGTCCCTGGCAGGAACTAACTGCACCCACAGGCCTCCACCACCATGTCTGGGATGTCGGTCTTGACAATGTTGCTGTCCCTGTCGTAGTAGAGCAGAGACAGCGGGCGCCGGGCTGTAGGCACGCAGCAGGACCCCCCTGCAGCAGTGCCTCCTGCTGTGTTGGCCTTGAGAAGGCTGAGCACTGCCGTGTGGAAGGACGCAGCGATGCCAGGCATGCCCGCCACGTGCAGCGGGCATTGCCCCGTGCAGAAGTTCATGGCGTAGCCCTCGGGCTGGATGATCCAGTCATGCCAGCCGATCTCACGGAAGTCTACAAAGAACTCTTGTCGGCAGCACATCCTGGACCCACTCTGGCAGTCGATGCCCCGCCGGCGCACCCGGTGCTTGCCCCCATCTCTCACCTGAGCCGCCACAAAGGGCCTGCGGGAAGCACCCCCCAGGATGACCGGACCTTGGGCTACCTGGTTCTCAGGTACCAGCGCCAGGGTCAGGTGGCCCTGACTGCAGGCAGCCTGGGCTTCGGGTCCCAGGAGGAGCTGGTGCCAACCACTGGTGTGCACTTCTAGCAGGTGGTGAGAGGCCAAGGTGAGGTTTGTGTCACGTGAGCCTAGGACCAGGACCTTGACCGTCGAAGTCTGGGTGGTGTTGGGAGGGAGCTGCACGAAGAACGTGAGGCTGGCCTGCTGGACCTCCATGCCCCCAGCACTTCTCTCAGAGAAGTGGAAATCAAGACGAGTCTGGTTGATGTCGGAGAGGCCTAGGACACAAGAAGCTTTAGTTACTGTGGCCTCAAGGATCAAGTCTGCCAGCAGCCCCCCAGACTCCACCTTCCTGTAGCATTTGGCACTGTTGACTAGGCTTTCTGAAAAGCTTTGTCTCTTTCCCATGACACAACTCTTAGGGTTCTTCCTTGATTGCCTTTGTTGGCTGTTGTTTCTTTTTTCTTTTTTCTTTTTTGCTTTTTGGGTCACACCTGGCGATGCACAGTGGTTACTCCTGGCTCTGCACTAAGGAATTACTCCTGGTGGAGCTTCGGGGACCACATGGGATGCTGGGAATCGAACCCGGGTCGGTCGCCTACAAGGCAAACACCCTACTTGCTGTGCTATCGCTCCAACCCTGTTGGCTGTTGTTTCTTGAACCATTCATTGCTTCAATGCATCAGTTCTCCAATCATGGTGTGTCTTTGACTATTATTTCTTTTAACTGTACATGGAGGTGAGTTCTTACCCACACCCATGGTCAGCCAACACAGTTTTTATGCAGGCAATTTCCCAATTTTGGGAGGAGGTGGGAGGGGTTTGGGGACCACACTTGGTGGTGCTCAGGGCCTAATCCCAACTCTGTTCTTAAGGATCACTCCTGGCAGTACTCAAGGCACTATATATGTGTCGGGGATTAAACCTTTGCAATCTCTCAGCCTCCATTTCCCCATTTGTCTGCCCAGTCCAAACCACTTTTTCTCCTCTGGATTGGACAGATGGAGTGGGAAATCACGTAGCTTCAAGCCTAACCCTCTAATTGTTTGATTTTACCATTTGAATATCCTACCAGCACCTGTCCTTCAGGTTGGAAAAATAGTACAGAGGTTAAGGAGCTTCCCCCACATGTGGGTGACTTCAGTTTAATCCTCAGCACTGCATATGGTAGCCCTGAGTACTATCAGGTGTGGCTCAGAAAAAAAACAAAACAAAATAAAATAAGACCAATTGTCCCAAGCAGAAGTTGTGATTTCCCTTCCTGTGTGTCTCTCTTTCATTAGAGGTGGTGACGTCACTACCCTCCTAATTGCCTGCAGACCTTCGAGCCACCATCATTCCCCACAGCCAGCCCTTCATCTCAGTGGACTGTTTATGAATATCTTCTTACTTCTATTGTCCACTTTCCTCTTTATCCCTGCCTGACCTGCTGTATTGAAACACCTTAATTTTCACTGAAATTGCTCTCGTCACGATCGCCAATAACCCGCCACCCCACTCCTCATTGCCAAATACAATAGTTTCATTTCTCTGTATCTATCTTCCCTGTCCTTTGAGCTGTGTTTGACAGTTAGCCATTCTTTCTTGAAATATTTTGTTCTCTTGGGTCTGTGACTGATCCCTCTGTCTCTGTCTCTTGCTTACAAGCTCCTCTTCCTCAGGTTGACCTTTCAATCTTGGAGGTCCTCAGCTCCCTTCTCTCTATTTGCTCTAGATCCTTTATAGTCTCTCCCAAAATGATCTCATCCATTTCCACAGCTTTCAATTCCATCTATATGCTGATGACTTCAAAATGTATAATTCCTTGGTCCTGACCTCTCCCTGAGTCTAAGGCGTATATATCCAGTTGCCAATCTGATATTCCACTAGGCTCACCAACGATATCTCAAACTTTCCATGTTTAAAAAGTAAATCTAGGGGCCAGAGCCATTGTACTGTGGGTAGGAAGCTTACCTTGCACGAGGTAGACCAGGGTTCAATCCCAAGCACCCCATGTATCCCCTGAGCTCCACCAAAAATAATTCCCGAGTGCAGAGCCAGGAGTAATCCATGAGCATAGTGGGTGTGCCCCCCCCCCAAGAAGTCCACACTAGTATCCAAAATCATTCTCCACTTATCAGCTAGAATATTCTTTTTGGGGTGTGTATGTAGAAATGTTCAGAGTTATGAGCTCAGGGCCTCATTTTATTTGGCAGGGGCTGGCAGAGCTCAGGGTTTACTGGTATTGGAGGGACCATTCTGGGTGCCAGGGATCTGTCTAAAAGGCAAGTGCCTTACTATACCTTACTCTCTGGCCCCATCTTCATTTTGTGTATTCTGTCTCTGAATTACATCCCTCACCCCAAGAGGATTTTCTTTTTTTCTTTCTTTTTTTTTTGAGGGTTTTCTTTTTTAAAAGGTAAATATGATCAGCTTAAACTCCTCAGCTTAAAAACCTTCAAAAGCCTATCTGGGGGCTAGAGCGATAACACAGCAGGTAGGGCATTTGCCTTGCATTGGACTAACTGTGTTTGATTCCCAGCATCCCATATGGTCCTCTAAGCACCACCAGGAGTAATTCCTGAGTGCATGAGCCAGGGGTAACCTCTGTGTATCACTGGGTGTGACCCTCCCCCCCCAAAAAAAAACCCAAACCAAGCCTATCTGTATTTTTAGGGGATGGAGTGATAGCACAGTGGAAAGGGCATTTGTCATGCATACGGCTGACCATGGGCTGGAGCGATAGCACAGTGGTAGGGCGTTTGCCTTGCGCACAGCCAACCCAGCCAAGCTGGGTTCGATTCCTCTGCCCCTCTCGGAGAGCCCAGTAAAGCCTGGCAAGCTACCCATGACGTATTCAATGTGCCAAACACAGTAACAACAAGTCTCAAAATGGAGACATTACTGGGCCCACTCGAGCAAATCGATGAACAACGGGAGGACAGTAACAGTGACAGTGATGGCTGACCAGGGTTTGATCCCTGGTATCGTATGGTCCCCTGAGCACCGCCAGGAGTGATTCCTGAGTGCAGAGCCAGGAGTAATTCCTGAACATTGCCGGGTGTGGCCCCAAACCAAAACAAAAAGTCTGTCTGCATTTTTAAGAATTGCTATTTAAATAAAACCTAAACCTCTTAACTTGAAAGACTTGCACGATTTAGTACTCTTCCACTTCGTTCCGTTCATCTACCTGTGCTTTTTCCTATTCCTTGAATCAATAAAACATGGGTCCACCTCCTGATCTTTGCTTTCCTCTGCGCTGAATCCTTCCCAAGATCTTTAAATGACTGACCCCGTTTTTGGCATTCAGCGCAAATGTCTCTCCATCAAAGAGGCTTCCTGATCAGGCCTAAAGCAAACCTTGATTCTCCCTCCATCTCCCTAACATACACTCCTGCTTAACTGACTGTGTGCCACTGTCACTCTCTGAGCATGTCGTGTTTTTGCTCATTTGTTTACTCTTCCTCTCCCTTTCTCTTTGTCTGTCTGTCTGTCTGTCTCTTATTCTCTTCTCCCCATTCCCACTAGATAGAATTGAAACCTCATGAAAGTAGATATTGCAACTGCCTGGTTTACCATTCTATCCTTAGTATCTAGTAGAAACTCAATAAATATTTATTTATAAAGTTCAACTAGACTTTGTGAGAACTGCAAATATTTGTTGAATGGACAGTGTTTCACTTTTTATTTTAATCATGACAACAGAATGATTTTCCAAACACAAAAATTGTCTAATAATATAGCAAACAATTATTTTTCAAAAACAACTGTAGATCATAAAATTTATGGTCTCAAAAATGTTACTGGTGAATAAAGTCCAAATATTTCAGGAAATAGTGAGATGACTATTGTGACTTAGTCATAGCCTCCCTTCTTTTATTATTCTTTTTGGGTCACACCCAGCTTTGCACAGGGGTTACACCTGACTCATGCACCCAGGAATTACTCCTGGCAGTGCTTGGGGGACCATATGAGATGCTGGGAATCGAACCCGGATCGACCATGTGCAAGGCAAATGCCCTACCGGCTGTGCCACTGCTCCAGCTCTCTTCTTTGTTTTTTTCCTTTGTTTTTGATCCACTCTGAGCAGTGCTTGGAGGCTACTTCTGGCTCAGTGTTTGGCTTTGCTATTGCTGTGCTGGAGCTGAAACCTGGGCTTCCGCATGCAAAGCGTGTGCTCAACGTAGTGTTCAGCTATCTCTCTGATCCTTACCATTATTATTTATTTATTTATTTATTTTTGCTTTTTGGGTCACACCCAGCGATATTCATGGAATTACTCCTGTCTCTGCGCTCAGGAATTACTCCTGGCAGTGCTTGGGGAACCATATGGGATGCTGGGGATTCAACCCAGGTCGGCCGTGTGCAAGACAAATGCCCTACCCACTGTACTATCGCTCCAGCCCCCTTACTGTTATTTTCTGTGTAAAGGTATTTTATTATAGGAATGCCACTCATGGGCAGAAAAGAATAGTGAATAAGGGTCAACTAGATTTGTGTGACTTATACTTTTTTTTGGTTTTGATTTGGTTTTGAGCCACACCCTGAATGCTCAGAGGTTATTCCTGGCTTTGCATTCAGGAATTACTGCTGGCAATGCTCAGGGGACCATATGGGATTCCCGGATTGAACCTGGGCTTGCTACCTGCTGTACTATTACTCTGGCTCCTGTGTGAATTATAAAAATCAAGACTAGGGTTGCTCTCCACAGATCTCAGAGCCAACCTGACCTCTCATCTTTCTCTTCAATCTACTCCATTCTCTCTATATTTACTTCCTTCCCAGCTTCTTCAAGTCCCAAAATGGTGATTCCATCTCCTGAGTCTACAGAGCCTTTTACTCAACTTCTACTCTGTCTAGGTGAGTGATGTGTCAGCGACCATTGAATTTCTTCATGCTAGATCCAAAAGCACCCTGGTGATAGAACTTCTCAGTTACCAAGAACGGGCAGGGAGATATATGACTAGCAGGAACTGGGACTATTACATTGCTGTCCCCAGTGAACACCTCCCAATATTCAAGCCAGTACAGTCCCTTTCAGATTAACTCTGAGTTTAGTCATCTGATTTGATTTGCCCATTAATAAATAGGCAAGTAGGGTGTAAACAGAAGCTCGATAGATACATATTGAGACTTCATCTTTCCGGAATTCGGCCACTTTAAAGAAAGTTGAACTAGAGTCAAAATGAGTAGGGGATAAGCCTTTCAAATGACTGACCTAGGTTTGATCCCTGGCACTCCATATAGTCCCTTGAGCCTCACCAGGAATAATTCCTGAGTACAGAGCCAGGAGCAAGTC